CCACGTACTCGAAGCAGGGCCGGTGGACAGAGGCAGAGGGGCTGGAGGTTGCGGTGATGGAGACGAGCAAGCGGTTGCTTGGCGAGGAGCATCCCTCCACGCTGACGTGGATGGCGAACCTCGCCACCACGTACTCGACGCAGGGCCGGTGGACAGAGGCAGAGGGGCTGGAGGTTGCGGTGGTGGAGACGAGCAAGCGGGTGCTTGGCGAGGAGCATCCCTCCACGCTGACGTGGATGGCGAACCTCGCCACCACGTACTCGACGCAGGGCCGGTGGACAGAGGCAGAGGGGCTGGAGGTTGCGGTGATGGAGACGAGCAAGCGGGTGCTCGGCGAGGAACATCCATCCACACTAACAATGATGGCGAACCTCGCCTTCATGTACAAGCGCCAGGGCCGGTGGACGGAGGCGGAGGGGCTGGAGGTTGCGGTGGTGGAGACGAGCAAGCGGGTGCTTGGCGAGGAGCATCCTGACACGCTGACGATGATGGGGAACCTCGCCTCGACGTACTCGAAGCAGGGCCGGTGGACAGAGGCGGAGGGGCTGGAGGTTGCGGTGGTGGAGACGAGCAAGCGGGTGCTTGGTGAGGAGCATCCTGATACGCTGACGAGCATCGCGAACCTCGCCTCGACGTACTGGGCCCAGGGCCGGTGGACAGAGGTGGAGGAGCTGCAGGTAGCGGTGATGGAGATGAGCAAGCGGGTGCTTGGCGAGGAGCATCCTGACACACTGACGAGGATAGCCATCCTCGCCTTCATATACGAGAGCCAGGGCCGGTGGACAGAGGCGGAGGGGCTGCAGGTAGCGGTGGTGGAGACGAGCAAGCGGGTGCTCGGCGATGAACATCCTGACACGCAGAGGAGTATAGATAACCTCACCGTGATGCAAAGAAAACAGGGCCGCAGGACAGATTCCTCAGAACTTTCGGAAATACCCATGAGCCACCGTGACGCGTCCCGCCAGGGAAGTTCTGGTCAATCCCCGCATCCGCCACCAAGGTCCCCTTAAAGGACTCAAGGCGGGTGAATGACCACTTATCATGCGATCATTAATTGCACTGTTGTCATCGTTATTGTAGGGTCTGGTCTCACTAACGGCGGCGCGATGGATCAGATGCCGACTGTCACCGTTCTGTCATAGTGCATTGGATCGCAACGTTCCGCCAGCCGTCAGAGGATGTAGGAGCAGTCATGATTGTTCCCATTCAGCGAGCCGCACTTCATGAGTTGTTGGTAATAAACGAGATCGTTAATGTCCATCCTCAGACTCGACGGAGATGATGTTGTTGATGCCTCCCAGACGACGCTACCAGCGGAAATAAGTAGTTATGAGCCATAAAGAGTTGAAGAGATGATGATTGAAAGACGAGACTACGCACGAGCGAAGTAGACAAAGGCTGCGGCACGCACTTCAACGCGAACTCAGAAATAATGAGGTATTTGTCGCTATGGAGCTAGGCGCGTTGCGACACAAGTACACCTCAAATGCAAGCCGTTGTCATCCGCACCTTTTCGGGCAACATGCACTGAAGCGGTCGACAAAGCAATCATGAGCGTAATTCAAGTTGGTGACGGAAATGGGTGTACGCATATCGTCGTTGGAACTCAGGAAGATATTCATAATGAACTCCCATAAAAGAAAGAGGCCGAGCGCACTACACCGCCAAGATCATTATCCATGTCTGAGCTGCGTGGAGCACTTAGTTGGAAAGGCGCGATGAGGGTGTAGGTAGTCGTACTGAGAAGGAGGGGCTTCCGAATGTGAGACAAAGCGAATGCTTGAAAGTGGAAGGAGTGGGGCTGATCCTCTGGACGGCCATGAAAAATGGTGCGATGAGTCGTCTACAAGGAACGTAGCATAATTTAAGCCCTTGAAACTAGACGAAAGGAAATGGTTCATCTCGAGTCGGACGTTCGTTTATAGGTCTCGACGGTGCTTCGTAAACGGTTGCGCATTTTTGATCAAGATTCCACTCATTGAAGAAGAAACGTATATGATGTACACGGTGGACCAGAAGCGGAACTACTTGTGAAAACGAGATGAATCGTATCGTCAGTAGTCAGCTAGAACCCTTCCTCAAACACAGATCTTGATACACGGGAACTCAACACGAAATCATGGATAGCTGCACCAACGTCTCACAAGACGTCGTCTCGCTTTAATTCATAGGCTGCACCGCCAAAAGGATCACCGCGAGCTGCACCGCGTCTCTTCAAATCGCCTTCACTATCTCCTCTAGCCACGTCGTTCAGAACCGCATCTCAAAGAATCACATTCGCCAATTGTGACCCTCCTCGCCACCGCCACCTATACCACTGCTCATACCGCCCTCATAGTCATTCCTGTGGACCCCCTGTTCTGAGCACTCGCTTTCAAATATCCACTGGTACACGCACCCGTTTGTATCTCGACCGTTCACCTATCCACCACCCACTCCTTCGTCCAAGCCACGGCCTCCGTCCTGCCGTTCTCCAAATCGAACATGACGTCATTCTTCGGGTTTGGAAGAGGCATAAGATACCATTATGGAGGTCAAAGACATGCCAAATGTTCTGGCTGAAGGGGTAGAGCTGAAGGCAGTGGCAGTATTTGTGTTGAGAGATATCGCGGTGGTGACAGTGGACGAGGTGGAGGTGGCGGTGGCGCTAGCAGAGCAGGCGGAATTCGCAGTGGTGCCGTGACGAAAAAAGTGAGGCGTGCAAAAGGGGGATCAACGCGAGTGCACAGAGCGGGTTGGAGTAGACGTACGCTGGTATCGAGGCGTTCGTTTAGCCCCCAGCAACTAGACGTTCATATAGGTCCTACTCACCAGCCCACCAGTCATATGAAACATCTTACACGCCCTCCGACCACCTCACCGCCTGCGATCTTCGATCCATCTCGTACCGAAACTTTTCGTGGAGGAAGGGTTGTGGTGGGACAAATACAACGGGCAACGAAGGGCCATGACAAGATGTAGGTCGCATTTGAACCCGTTGTTCTCGCGATTTGACTGAGTCGATGTTACTAGGAGGCATCGGATTGACTGGGTTTGGAAGTGCTAGACTGCACACCGAATGGTTCAGAATGGGGAGGCGATGTGGGTGGATGAACACGTGAAGGCAATAGACGTCCATGTGGCGAGGACTTATCGAGCAGAGATATACAAAGGAAAGAATCAGCTAAGTGTGAAAGACAAGGGATAGAACGTGCGCATTGACTACAGACAGCAATCGGCCGTCGTCATCGCCGGGTATTATCCAGAAAGCGTGGAGTTTCAGTGATAAAGAGACAGCAATGCATATCTCTGAAAAACCAGGTGTTTCATGACCCGCAAAGGCATCGTTCGAGGCATGGTCGAACGGCAGGATAGAGAGCCACCGCGGGCACATTTCAAGCAGCGACGTTACCGGCTTGATGGAGTCCACAATCGCGTTCAGATTGATATACAATGCGAGATCGTATCTGCGGAAGAAGGAGGAGCAGAAGAGGTATTTCGATTGCAGCGAAGGCTCGAAAAGAGTATGGTCGACGTTTGATCGGAGATGCCTTTGGCTTGGCTCAAAGCGTGATATTTGTTTGCGCTTGTCACCGCACCGCTAAACGCGTTCTTGTCGTCGTCGTCCGCCTCTGACGATCCTCTGAGTCTCTGACTTACCACATCTTCTCAGACAATAGTACCGGAACGAGAATCCAGAGCTTCCCAGTCAACCCCACTGCTCAAATCCTTAGGTTATCTCTCTCTTTGTCTTCTCCACTCGGCTTCTCTTTCGCCACTCTTTCGCCACTCACTTGCTTCTCTTTTGTGAGCTAGAAATGAACATGGGCTGTGGCTGAAACGAGAGTAGGACGAATTACTCAATACGTCGTGATATATCAGGACGGATGTCATATATAGGAGTAGGATGGATTCGATGGTCGATGGAGCCCTTCATTGCGCCTCTTTCACACATCATCCACCCCTGTCTTCCGTGCACTTAACCCGATCTTTTTCACTCCATCGAATATATAAGGCGTACTCATCCGACATTACCTCTACGGCGTCCAAACACATACGCATCTCTCCCACCGTCGTCTTTTTCGGCTCCCGCTTTATACATACTCAAGGGGTCAACGAATTTCCACAAGTGGCAGGGACATTCGACGGAGCACCGCTGCAGACCACTGAGAGTAAGCACAGCCTACTGGTGGTGGGTCCAAAAAGAGTCTTTTGGCGCCACAATCGGAAGGTTCGAGCAAGGATCCTCGCGCCAGACCTCGCCAGATCCGTTCAACTGGCTTTCATCAAGGCCAAAGCAGGATGCTCTTTCTAACACGCTCTCCATCCGACACGAGCATATGTACCTTATTACAATATCAAAAATCCTACAGTTCGTCATCTCCTTGCATCCTCCGACCCCTCTTGGACCGAAGGAATCGTACTCGACGTCATGTCTACTAGCCAGCATCCTTTTCTCACATCCCTCTGAAGGCATCTAATGATAAAAGCCAATTGCTGAACCCAGCTCCACATATCGACTCACAAACGAGCCTTAGGTCCCGTTACCCGTCCCATTTGGCCGTTCCAGCTGCCTTTCCAACTTCCCTCGTTTGGAGACCTAGATGCCCTTCGTTCTTCACCATTCGGGGAGATAGCGAGCTGAAGCTTTATTGAAGAGCTTTTGGATGCAGGAGGTATCAAACGGTTGAGTCCCGTGAATTAAATGAAACGAGCGGAAGACGGAGCGAGAACGGTGAGACAGGGCCTCGAGTCGAAGGGATAGATGTTATGGGAAGAGCCTTGGCGAGAGTCAAATTGGGGATATGGCGGTAGAAGGTTGGGACACTGTCCTTCTCTTCCATCCATGATTTGATCTCATCGACCAGTTCATGATTTGTATCCACATCAGTAATCCATGCTGGTACTGACACGCCCGTATGCTCTAATAGAAACTTGCCGAACTCAATTCGCCCTCGCCCTCCCTACGACTGGCCTTCACCACGTCACGTTACGTCACGCCACACCATCCATCCACTCTGACACTCCCTTAACCTCACCTCTACATACCTCATCCTTTGATGACTCTTCTCCTCCGTCCTGATTTACCAGGAGCTCGAACACAGGACTCATCTCCACCGTAGTTCTGAAGTCTCGATAGCTAATACTTAGCGAGGTCCGTCGCCTCAATATCTAGTGAGCTGACATAGTTTCAATAAATCCCTGTGAAAGTTCATTGTTGAATTATCGTCGTGTCTTCTGATCCGATGTCTAGACGCCAACCTTGATAAACCATAGCCACAGAAGATAGATGCATCGATTAAATCCAGATAAATCTTGTCTCTTGGAAACCTGTATGGACAATATGTTTGCACTGTTTCTTCATGGGTCATAATTACCATATCCACAATTTGACGTGCACCATCCTATGAAATACGTACGCAGCGGGCATCCAAGTACGACTGCTCAAAGTGCCTATGAGATATTGAGGACTTTAAACTGAATATTGATTACTGAACCCATGGGTAGGTAAGTAGGTGGCATCGATCTGATTACCAATTTATAGACGGTTGAGAAAGATACACGAAACTAGAAAATTGCGATGAATGGCCTCCAGGTTGATCGCATGGTTCAACATCCGCTGCTGATCGTACATGACGGAAAGAAAGGCCTTCTCTCCGTGCTCCAGACTCTATCAAGAGCTTCACTGCGTCTGCGTTGTCATTCGGTCCGGTCAATGCTGCTCTAAGTGCGCTTTCGTATATCCCTCCTCGCATGTTAACATCCGCTCCGCCTTCAATCAAGAGTCGCATAATCGCATGGTCGCCTCGCCTCGATGCCGCCTGAAGCGCGTTTCCAAGCTTACCACCCTGTGCATTTACATCGGCACCCTTTTCCAAAAGCAGTTGCACCATAGACTCATTTCCACTTTGACAAGCTGGCTGCAGCGCCGTGCCGTATTCACCACCTAGCGCGTTCACGTCTGCCCCTCTCTGAAGCAGCAATTGTACAGTCTCGTGCGCGCCACGATAGGCTGCAAAATGGAGAGGGGTTCCATATACTTCTTGTTGCGTGCAAACATCAGCACCGTTATTAATTAGCAATATAGCGATGGTTTGTTGACGATTTGTCAGTGCTGCATGTAGAGCGCTATCCCGTTTACCGCCAATCAGATTCACGTTGGCGCCATGATCGATGAGTAGCTGCACAATATTCTCTTGTCCACGGTATGCTGCAGCCTGTAGCGCAGAGCCATATGCACCACCGGTACCATTCACTTTGGCTCCATACTGGAGTAGAAGCCGCGCAATAGACGTGTGACCTCGATACGACGCTACCTGAAGTGGACTTCCGTATAAGCCACCCGGGGCGTTGACATCTGCCCCCTTTTCCAAAAGCAGCTTCGCCGTGTTCTTCTGACCACCGTACACTGCTGCCTCAAGTGCAGTGTTGTATTTACTGTCCCATACGTCCACGTCGATCCCCTTCTCGAGTAATATTCGCACGACCGCTTCATGTCCGTGTAATGCAGCAACATGAAGTGAACTGCCATGTGTTTCGACATCGCTCTCCTTTTCAAGCAAAGCTCGGACTGCGGTCGCAGATCCTTGGAACGCAGCACAATACAGCACAGTCGGTAGCTTCCAGTAAGAATTATACCAGCGTCGACACCACAACTCGACGCAATGTCCGTGTTTCCCGCTAAACCCAACAAATTCACCCATAATGGATTGAAGACCTTCAGAGGGCTGGGATACATGCGAAGCATGTTTTATCCACCAGACACCAGCATATTCCAGTAGAGGAAAATCAGAAGTTCTGGGCGTCTTCTTCTGTCCGACAAGCTCTGAGGTTTGCATGAGATACGTTAAGCATGCATAGGTAATGACTGCATGGGCCAAATTTTCGTTCAAGAAAAAGCAAGAGATGTGAGCGCTTCTGACACGGGTATCCACAAGGTATTCTTTGACTGAGAAATGCGCTAACTGCAGGAAGTTCTGGGTAGTGGTTACCAACGTAGAGCAAATGCTCAGCACGTCGGGTGGGTTAGGCAAACGATCCTCGATGACAAAATGCGGTTGGTCGTCGAACGTAAATGCCAAAGCCTCAGCAACCTCTTTGAGAGATAAGGGCTGCAGGGAGAATGACAACCACAATAAAATACGCTTTGCGTACTCCTGATTGGGTGAATTGAGGATCCTACCCAGGATGCGCTCGTAGGTTTCGTCGAGTGTTCTGGGCAGAGTACGCAGTGTTTGACGAAGAGCAGCTGGACCCAGGCATTTTCTGAGGTCCTCGAGCTGGCAATGGACCCAACGAAACCTGATAGTACTCAATGAGAAGTTTTTCGAAGACTACGAGCATCAGAGAATAACTCACATTCCGTTCGCACCTGATACCAATGTGTTTTCAATCTCCATCAATATATCGGCCTTCCACCTTTTGAAGTCGGAATTGTCGCCTCGAATTGTAGAACGGACGTAACGTATGATATCGTCACGCATTCCAAGTTCCGACCCAAGTTTCACTACATATGCAGAAGGAACCAGTTGTTCCAGACATTTTCGGATGTTCGTCTCGGGTCTGCCAGTCAGCAGCAGATGCGTATTTGCACTGACAGACCATCCAGAAAGTGAGCGAACAAAGCTAGAAATACTGCCCCACTGTTCCTCTGCACATTCGTCTAGTGCATCGATGACGATATACACGTGGTCAAATAGGTCGAGCATCTCACGCAGAGTGGATTGCAGAGAACCAAGGGAAAAGCTCCTTTGGCCGAGACAGCGCTGGTGCAGCATCCGCAGCACATGTGGAATCTCGATCGAGTGATCCAAGAGTTGTCTTATGATGGAGAGGATAAGACTCTCACATGACTGCTTCGTGGGATCACGGAAGTCGAAGTAATGATATGCGACGACGGAGACGCTCGTTTGATCAGTAGCGGCAACATATTCGAGTTCGTCGATGATGGTCGAACTGGTAGGGCGTATATGTCGTTCAGCCGTCCAAAGGTGAGTAAGAGTATTTAACTTACCTCAAGATACTCTTTCCACAGCCAGCTGAGTACTAGTCAGTGCGGGCAACCAGCGAATGGACGAGGACTTACGACCGCCCGACAACCACATAACAGTTTTCTCGTCGTTCTTCCATCCTGTGAAAGTGGGGGAATTTAGAAACCAGCTTCCGGTCCCTTCTGCGTGCCTCTCACGAGCCTGTCGCTGGTTAGTTGAGACGTCTGGAGCTGATAACCAGGATATGAATTTGACGCGCTCCTGATCCTCTGGTAGTCACATTCAGTGCGTAAGTCAACACATCACCCCATACTAGCAGGGCACGTACCGACGAAAGATTCAAACCGACTGCATTCTACAGCTTGGCAAACCGAACGTCTTATTGCTTCCAATGTTGATTGGGCCTCAGTAGATTTATCTAACGAATGGATTAGTTTACGTTGGGAAATTTAATATGAGACCAACCATTCAATCTTTCAACTGCGTTGCAAATCGTTATAAGCATATTCCTCTGTGTTTCCTTTGATTCCTCTAAAACAGGAGGTAACGAATGAGCAACTCTCGGAAAATGAATGGTGTGTCTCATACCCGTCAGATGGTCCGATAGCGTGCTCAAGATATCGTTCGTTACGGAGAGTGTTGTCGCAGATACCAGTCGATCCTCCTGCAGAGTCAAACGCGAAAGCTTCTCAAGCGCTTCTTGAACGTCGCCATTCTTGCCTATCAGCGCCTTGAAGTATCGTACTTTCGCATGTCAATAACGCAGGTGTAAGGCCGGTGAACGGCAGGTCCCGCTACTTGGAAGGATGACCACGAACTGACTTTTAATGCTTCGTACTACCCAACCAGTGCATCAGACAATGCAACTTCACGGAACATAATAATTGATATTTGCTCAAATAATGGGAGAGTAAGCTGCGGCCAACCTTCGTGTTTTGACGAAAGCTTTGCAGCACATTCATTTTAAGGCTCAGCCGACTACATGAATATTCCTTCCTAAGTGCTGTGATGCGAGCTTTCAGTATTCTTCGACTGGTGATTGGGATGCATGCATGCACAGCGAACTATCATCAGGGACCGGGAACAAATGCTTGTTGATCAAAATATAGGAGCAACCATGCACAAAGTATCGGAAGGGGCAGCAGAGACTATATCCAATTGACAATAGCCATCAACTGAGACAAAAATATTATACACAGGTATTACTACAATCAACAGACATCGACGAATGGGTAGGTGCAGCAACGGACAGACGAAGGAGCAGAAGACAAAGAACCCACATGGGCAGCAGTAAATCGTCCCACATGGGAAGCAGAAGAGCCCACTTGGGCGGCAGGTGGTTGCTCAAGACCGAGGTGGTCGAGCAGTGGGAGAGATGGAGGGCGACAATCACTTGTAACGAGAAACACTACGAGGCGAAAGCACATAAGACAGACAATGTATGAGAAGGAAAAGGGACGTACACGAAGCATCAGGCCGTATAGAAGACCCATCCCATGTGGAGGGCGAACAGGTATCCAGTCCACACCAGAAGTTCCCGATATGACCGAGAAAAAACTTATGTGAATGGTAAGAGCCACAATCAGTGGGAAGAATTACAAGATCTCAGAGTGCAACAGAGTAGCGGGAAGGTTCTGAGAGCAACATTGAGAGTTTGCTGTGTTTTGTGCAGTAGCGAAAAGCGCGAAGAGATCTCGGAGTAACTTCTACGAGAATGAGCACATCAAGGCCTCGAAACGGCTGAATACAGAGAGCGAGGGAGGAGTGATAGCAAGACAGAAAGCGATGATATTGGATGTAGCGCGAATGGGCGAAGATGGACGACGTTGCAGAAAGCAAAGCAGAACGAAGACGGCGACGCGCGAGAGGCAGCCACAACTGTACAGTAGACAAATGCACCCGAGCCTGCACGTGCGATGATGAGCGCGGAAGGAGCGCGGAAGATCCGATCCGATTCTGACTCAGCAATTTCCATGTAAGGGAATTGCACGATTCTCCGCCAAAAACCAAACGATACTTCCTGTAAGACCCACTACTAAAGTAGCGGGAATATATGTGACTTTCACGTCTATCTAGCGTGCTCACCGGTTCGACCTTCCCTCATGATCTTCGTAGCTAGACCCATGATTACGAGCATGTGTGCGAGGGTTTTGACCATGTTTTCCTTGATCGATGGCGTAATCTCGTGGTCAAAGTGTATCTTGTAACGACTGAGCATATGCGTAAGACTCTCGAAGAGCTCAATGATAGAGTCGTAGCTCTTCCCGACACCTTTCGCTGCCTGATGAAAACAATCTGCATCAGAGCATGTTCCATATTATGATGATTCTAGACGAGGGCATACAGCGATGAGCCCGCTGACGGCGGTAAGGACAGGCTTTGCAAATGCAATGGGCTACATATGGTGAAAGATATCGATGAAGCTTCTCAGTGCAAGCGAAGATAAAATCAGTTACTCAGGAGCTTACCGGTATCATAGACGCAGCATCCCCAACGGAATCCGAAATGGTCTTGACGAGCTCAACAACGGGCGTTAAGGCCTTGTATATTGTCTCCCTTTTCTTCTGGAAAGTCAAGAACACGTCTTGGCGAAGATCGATGTCGTACTTGAGACTGTCGATATCACAGGGTATAACGACGAGATCCCCAAGCTCATGCTTTGAGTGCTGCTCATATTGTTTAATGGCGTCTCTGAATATCGCCGGGAACTGGTCCTGATCGAAATCGCCAGACATCATTGCGAGGTAGGTCAAGGATGGTAGAAGGTCGTGCAGAACGCAGTAGATGATGGTGGTGTGATTGAGAGGCAGGCCGTGGGATTGAAGAAGTCTGTGTGGTGCATTTGGGGGCGATGCTGTGTATGCCGATGTACGCATTGGGTCAATAGGGATGGCGGTGTACCTGCAGTTGTGAACCTCCGAGGAGGCCAAGGATGAAAAATGACCCTCGCATATTCAATGTTTCTCTTCTGAAAGCCGAGTAAGGCCGGGTACATGTGAATATATTTAATACTGCATACACCCACAACTGTAATGGGAGAGAACTTCATAGTTCCAGTGGTCCACGAAACGAATTATGTCACCGTACCAAGCCGATAGTAGGAAACGAGCAACGAGAGTAGCTTCAGAGAAAGGAGAAAACACAGTCATTTTTGAGTCGAGATTGAAGAGGAAGCTTCAAGAATGAGCTTGATGAGTACATCAGGAAATATGATCTTATTCGCAGAAAAAATATCTTGCACCGAGAACAGACCACTGATGGGCGCATATTGAGGTGGCACGAGGACAATCTGTTTCACTGCCTCTCAGACCCACATAACGTCCATGGCTACGACAGGTAATATGGACAATATCGAAGTCAACGTCGTTTGTACAGAGGTCGAGCTCGAAGCAAACGAGCACTGACCTTTCCCCCCATTCCTCGGCCCCATCCCCGTAACGCCGATCGGATGATAGATCGCTCCACCTTCGCCCTAACGAACTCTTCCACCTCTTCCACCGCGCCCTCACTCATCCGCCCTTCGGACCATCTATATGTCACGCCTCCCGCGTCGTCATACAGCGCCACCTCGATCAGGCGCTCGCAGAATCAGATTCCGGCGATGAGCAGGTCGGAGAGGTAGGCGGGTTCGTCGGTCGATGAGGAGGAGGAGGTATGTACGGGACTGCGGGAGAGGGTGTGTAGGATGTCCGGTGGGGTGTAGTAGTATGAGGCTGGGTTGGAGATTAGGGATTAGAGGCGGCGATATAGAGAAGTTTAAGACGCCAAGGTTTGTAGGGGTCTGGGGAGCGAGGGAGATCCGTACGATTTTGGATGATTGGAAGAAGTAGAGAATGCGATACGAGGTCACGTACTCGATATGCGTATGCTGAGAATCTGCTAACCACTTCATCTGCTTCTCCAGCGACGTCCCTGACCCGAATATTCTTCAGCACCTCGTCCTTCTCCTGTCTCTCGCAAAACGGGCTTCCTTCTCCTATCTCTCTCTAGCTGCAGCATACTGCTCCACCCGCTCGACAACTGCTCCAGCGTCTCGCAGACCATGTCGAAAGAAAGTGGAAAAGAGGAGAGCAAGCTGCGTGGTTATTCTTGGTTGTGACGAACGCAAGAGGTATGGTTTATGTGGTGCGAAGGATGTTTGGTCGGGGTAGTATAAAGAGGGTACGCAGGGATATCAGGTTAGAAGATAGGTTAGGTAGAAAAAAGTGAGAGCAAGGAATATAGAAGGTAAACGTACCACGACGGACTCTGCACCGACAACCTCTTTTCATCCACGGATCATTCTCTGCACGAACTGGTCGAACAACGAAACGAGTCAGCTTTCGATGAAAATGGGGAGAAAAGAGAAGGTAGGCGCACCTTTTTATGTAAAGGCAGGGAGTCATTTCCGTCTCTGAATCTCCCCAAGATTCAATAACTGTAGTATGATAAACGCATGGCGTGAAGGGAATGCGTGAGCACGAGGAGGAAGGAAGATCGATGGACAGGGCGGACGTACCGTCGGATTCCTTGCTTGAAGGGCCATTTGGAGGCGCGCATACATCGTCAGAATACCAACTGCGGTGTACGAAGAAGAAGAAAGAACGGATCGTACTCACGTTCCCCATGCCAGATGATCAAATTACCATCCCATCACTTGGTCACAACACGACGAAACGAAGCTCTCAGGGGAAAATCCTCCGACGAGCTTACCCTTATAAGCAAACCCCCTCAATGAACACGCCCCTAAAGGTCGATGACCAGGACAAAACGCACCTCGGCTCTAAAATCTTATGAGCGTCAGTTCCGGCTTGAGGAGCGTTAGAAAAGTTCCAGTCGACGCGAGGATTGTTATATGTCATACGTGCCATGTCTACATCACATAACCGGACGCGATTCAGAACGGAGGGCCAGTGTGGCGTAGAAATTCTGGAGAAGAGAACGTGGAGAGGAGAGGGAGGGAGAGAGAACGCACTGGGGACCATGATAAACACCATGTTGGTCTCATATTCTCAGTGTGAATGACACCAACCGTAACATCCGGATCTTCAGAGAAGCTGGGTGTAAAGGCTCGTTCGTAAGAGATTCAACAACGAAGACGTGCGCGAGAGCGAGAAAGGGTGGATGTGACGCACCGAGCGGCGAGAGCGATCCTAGGGCCAGCTCCGACGACAACCTTGTCCGTATTTTTTCAATATTGTGACGAGCGTCGTCGTTGATTGTGTTTACATGAAGCTCTGAGTTCTGTGGCATGAACGTTTTGAACTGAGGCTTGAGCGGGGGAGATCTGTATCGCGTGGCGACATCTTATCTTATCTTATCTCCCATATCGCAGAGCATCGGCAGCTTGTTCCCAACCACCACTCTTCTTCTCGGCTGCGACCACCATGCTCGCAGCTCGGATATCGCGTGTTCTTTGCCAAAGGCTTTTTACTTCACAAATCAGACTCCTCTACGATGCTCTCTATCCAGGATAAAGTGCAACAACTACGCTCTCTCGTCCGCTTGCTTTCAGACGCATCTGAGGAAGTCATCCAATCATGGCTCATCGACGATGCGCTATCCAATTCTTTTGAGGACGACACAAAATCTGGTTCCATTCCATCTCATCGTCTCTTCGAAGCTCGGCGTACGTTGCTAGGCGCAGCTGGGATGATAATTGATATCGTTCAAGATCCTCAGGCTCGCCTCATGGAGCTCGCTGCCCAGTTCTACGAGGCTCGTGCGTTGCACATCGCCGTTCAGGCTGGAATTCCAGATATCTTGGCCGAGGACAATGAGGAGGACGGTGGTGAGAAGGGTGTTTCGTTGGAAGCACTAGCACTGGCGGGTAGGACAGGTATAAACGCGCAAAAACTAGGTCCGCATACCTTCGTTGAATTGTCTCGTCATATTACCCTGATACAAGACTCCGGTCGCTATTAGGAAGCGTTCTTCGCTGCCTTTGTACGGCTCACGTATTCTCTGAAGTCTCTCCCGATACCTTCGCGAACACCCCGACGAGCAAGTGTCTAGTCAATAATGAACCTCTCCAGGCATGGATAAGCCACACTATGTACGCACCTCTGTCCTACGTTCTCTCAACGTTCTCTCGCTGTTCCCCCGGCTCCCTTTCCAATACTTCACTAGACCCTGTACCTGACGCCGTCTCAACAGGGGTGTACTATCCTATGAAACCTCTCGAAAACTGCCCGAAGTCGTCCTAGACCCCACCCGGACTCATTCCCAGGCTCCTCTCGAAACTGCGTTCCAGCTCGCCTTCGATACTCCACTGTCGATATGGCCGCCGTTGTATGCAGGTCAATTTTTTCATCCTGTGCTCAGCCTACATAACACAATCAAACGTCTCATCTTGCGTCATGGCGGGCAGATTACCCTTGGGCCGAACTCGGAGATGCAACGATCGTCGACGTCGGAGGTGGCGTAGGTATATCCAACTTTCCCTTCGTCCCATCAACGACTGCTCGTATTGACCTACTCCTTCCCGGTAAAATTTCATCAGGGGGCATGAGCCTCGATCTCGCACGCATGTACCCCCGACTCAGGTTTCTCATCCAAGACCAGCCGGACGTCGTGACAGAAGCTCGATTAGTATGGCAAAAGGAGTACTCCGAAGCACTCAACGCAGGCCGCGTGCAGCTCATGGTACACGATTTCTTCACGGAACAACCGTTCCCAGGTGCCGAAGTCTACATTCTACGATACATTCTGTACGTCATCCCCTTCTTATTGTACATACATGCATCCTCGACTGATCAATGCCGATGTATCCTATCAAGACACGACCAGAACGACAAAAACTGCCTCAAAATCCTCCGCGCACTCCGTCCCGCCCTGCTCATCCAACCCGAAACCTCCCGCATCCTCATCTGTGACCAAATCTTGCACACGACCTTTGGCTCTACGACATTCCCCGCTTTGAACGCCCCTGCGCCTCTCCCTGCGAACTACGGTGATGCGTCAAGGTTCGCGCATATGTGGGACTTGAGCATAATGGGAACATTTACCGGGAAAGAGAGGACGGTGGATGAGTTGAGTGTACTAGCGAAGAAGGCGGGGTTGAGGGTTGAGAAGGTTTGGGTTTGTAGGGGGTTGGTTTGGATTACGGAGTTGAGATTGGGGGAGGAGGTGGATGAGGAGCTCGAGGAGGATTTGGAGGAGGCACAGAGAGATGTTGAGAGCGATACGGAAGTGGAAGAGGGATCAGAGGAATGATATGGGATTCACATAACGGCGGCGTTGAGCATGTATATCTTGGCCGAATATGTGATACACAATAGCCGCTGCCTAAACCTGAATGGAAAGTGAAGATCGAACGTACATACGGAGTACAGAGGCGCTACGTCACCTCCACCTTATGCCTGTGAAGCAGCCTGGCGATAAAATGGTCGAGCAATCTCACCGCCGATGGTAGTAAGGGCAGCTTTGACGGTGTTTCTGTGGTCGTGTCGACTAGGATGCGAGTTTTTTGAGCGGGTCGGCCGATTGGGTGGAGGGTACCGATGGGAAGGAACCAGATCAATCCGTGCAGTCGATCAGGCCTCAGGTCTTAAGATGGGGAGTAGAAAGAGAGACGTACGGGGCGACAAAGTTCCATATGATGCTCTTTTCCAACTTTCTGAGGGTGTATATCCTCTAGGCGTAGAAGATCTGGACACATGTCGCCGCTGGATGAATACAACGATAAATCCGAAAAAAAAGAAAACAGTCAGCTTCGGACGTCTCGCAGCTCTTCTTTGTATGTACGAACGAAAGGGCGGAGGAGGAAGAGGACTCGATAATTGGGTGAAGAGAGAAAGAGACATACTGATACCGATCAACAAATGTATGATTGCGAGCCCCTACTCCGTATGCTCCAGCGACTCCAGCCTGCCACATCCGACCAGTAAGAAATCTCAAGCTACTCACACGGTGATGGGGATGGTGTGCAACGTGTCGAGGGCGTAGAGGCCATAGAGCCACAACGAACCACTAATCCACCGAGAGCGTGAGTTCATTGCGAGTACTCAGTACAGTATGGCCAGTGGGTCGTCCGTCGGAGACCGAACATATGTCAGATGCAAGTCCAGGATCCTAGTACCCAGACGGACGACACTATCGGACCGTCCGTAATGTCTTAGTTTGAATCGAACTGACCCAAGCGAGCCTCCGTTGTTTATAAACAGGGACTCATCTAACGCACGAATGCGCGAACGCACGAATGCGCGAACGCACGAATGCAAGAATGCACGAATTATGAAGAGAATGAACGATGAGAACCCAGCGTGAGATAGTAGGCTTTGCTTCAAATCCTCTCGTCAGCAGCAGGCATCATCGAGTCAAAGCAAAACACATTCGACGGAGTGACATACACCAAAGTAGGTAACTCAGTTACGATGAGATTGAGAAGAGCTTCGAGGTCTGAGTTCGAGGATCGGGAGCGTTGTGGTTATTGTGGCGAGACCGAATGCGATAACCATCGGAATGACCGCCAACGATACGAGTCCATGCATCCGCCAGTTGGTGAGTGAAAGAGCAAGGAGAAGGTACCGACAGTTCAAACCGTAATGCAGTGTTTTCTTTCAGAGCTGAAAGTAGTTCAGAAGATGATGGATGGATAGGAAGACGAAGAAGACGAGGTCACAGACGTTGGCGAGCACGATCCCTGCGTATGGATGCTATCGTGGGCGGCACCGTCAGAGAGCTCAGAAAGAGATGCATTCGCGCCTTCGTCCATAATGCAGGAGAATGCTGTACTAAGTAATCCAAGGCAGCAACGCTGAGCGCTGACCTCTGAGAGAGAGATAGAGAGAGAGAGAGAGGTTCCGTCTGCCAGCGAGAGTCACGGTGTGGCGACTCGCGCGGGGGAAAATGAAGATTTAATCTCCGCTCGAACTCTAAATCGGTCTCCTGGGCCCCGGCTTCACTAGCTTCACTTGTCGTCCAAACCAACTTGAACGTTTGATTTCTGAACCTTTCCGACGAACCTTCCGCATGCAGCGAGCGAGAGAGCACCTACGCACGGACCGAGTGGATCAAGGGGACTTCATGGTGCTCGGTGAACCTCCCTCACAGTGGCTACACTCTCGGCTCTCCACTCGGGCTTCACGGACCTCTCCTCTCGCCACCAATACCCCCCTGGTTCACGAGCGTACTCAATCTTCCACGTCCCCTCCTCTCACTCATCCACGTTCTCGACGATGCCGTTCACCTTCCGCAATCAACCTCTCAAGGCCTTCTACATGACAGGCGCTATATGTCTCCTCATCTTCGTACGAATCCCGATCTGGACGATCCGCTACATCTTGCCTTCCGGGCGTCCCAGTCGCAGGTGGTCGCTAGGACGCTCCTTGATCGTCTCGTCTCTGCACACCCTTATCGATCTAATGTATTCGACTGCCCTCCTGCAATCACCCCCGCTAGAAAAGCTTGCCGAAGAAGGCACCGACTCCGGTTTCGTATGGGTCGAAGCAACACCTTCTCTAATCGCGGGCGACATTTTGGAAAAGGCGAAGCAGAATGGCGTTGAAGCTGTAAGGACGGCGGGGTTTTGGTTCGGTGAGCGTGGGCCTGATGGGATGGTTGGTCAGAGGGCGAAAAGTGATGAGCTGGTGTTCTACCATCTGCACGGTCCGTCTTCGCTCTCGCTCGCTCTGCGTCTGACCGTTTGCTCACGAGCCCATTCCTCAATTTTAGGTGGCGCATACGTCGTAAGTGTCTTCACTGTGGTGACGAAAGCCCAGCTAATCGACACACAATCGCTGCTTTCCAGATGGGCGCCGCACATCCCTCCAACTCAGCGAACAAAACTCTATGGAACGGTCTCCTAGAACATAGCAAGATCGCCCGCCTCTTCGCACTCGAATACCGCTTATCCTCTGCTCCCCCCTTCCCTTCACGCAACCCATTCCCCGCTGCTCTGATCGAGGCCATCGCAGGCTACCGCTATCTCGTGCACGACGTCGGCTTCGACCCGAGTAATATCATCATCAGCGGGGATTCGGCTGGTGGCAACCTGGCTTATGCGCTTGCGCGATACATGTCGGCGAAGGAATACGGGCATGAGCTTCCACGTCCAGGCGCGGTCCTTCTGCTATCACCGACTGTAGACTGGACGGACACGCATACAGGGCCCGAGTCGTCCATGCAGCGCAACACTCGTACAGACTTCGTGCATTCCATTTTCACAAGTCGATACACATACAACGCCCTACGGGGCAATCTCCCCTCCTCCGAAATCGCCACAAACTCATGGATCTCCCCTGCTTCGCTCAAACTCAAGGATTCAGACACGCGCGGGATTTTCGAAGGATTCCCGAGGACGTTGATCGTTTCCGGGGCACTTGAGATGACTTTGGACCCGATGCGTACGTTGAGGGATAGGATGGTAGCGGATATGGGTGGGAATGCGGTACGGTATATGGAGGTGCCCGAGAGTACGCACGATTTTTTGATACAGGGGTGGCATGAGCCGGAGAGGACGGAGACGTTGAAGGAGATTGGGCGGTGGGTGGAGGGGTTGTGATCGTATGTATGCACACAGCGAGGCGCGCACGATGGTGTTGTGAGTGTATATAGTTTTTTTCTGTGCGTGTTCTGCTCTCACGAACGAACGTCAGCTAATTTCCGTATGTGCAGACGTTCTTGCCTATGTCCGATTTCAATCCGGCTCTCCTCCTCTCTGTAATATTCCATATATTTAGTCCGGCCTCATTTTCCTCTGGTATTGTGTATGCACCTTGGTCAAGGACGAAATGAAGGCCGTAGTGAGTAGCCCTTACCTGCGAGAGAGAGGCTCTGTCCGTCAGCGAGTGCGAGGAGAATCAGACAGTTCAAACTCCTGCACTATTTGACGCCGGGGTAGCAGGAATTGAGCGGTATGTGTATTATCTTTTTCTGCCCCGAACACATGAGTACGTCAGGTTGGACATGCCTCACAACCTTCTATATCGTTATATGGAGCACGCTCTGAAATCGCGTCACCTACGGATAGTCAATGGCGGCATATATCCGATATACTCACGACCATCCATTTACAGTGACTATATGTGTATATCCCATTCGTGTTATCCATTCGATCTCGCCTGCTTCAGTTCGACCATCATGAATTTACGGTTCGCATTCCACGCATTATTTTCTCTCCTCCTACATGTGTTCCCCGTATCCGCTGTCACCGTCACCGTCGACATCGGAACAACATACCAGGAGATGGACGGGTTTGGGTTCTCCCAGGCCTTCGGTCGCGCCAACGACGTCAAGAACCTTCCCGCCGCCCAACAAAGACAGACACTTGATTTGCTGTTCAATATCACCAATGGTGCAGGTATGACAATCCTGCGCAATCGTATCGGTTCGGGTGGGCTGGGCGATAGTATCGAGCCGAATAGTCCTGGATCGTCGAATGCGACTCCGACGTATGTCTGGGATGGAGACGATTCCGGGCAGGTACGTCTTCCTACTTTCCCTGCATATCCGGTCTAATATTCTTCTCATCTGGACGTTCTCTCAGGTCTGGTTCAGCCAACAAGCCAGATCGTATGGCGTCTCTACCTTCTATGCAGACGCGTGGAGCGCTCCCGGCTTCATGAAGACCAACAACAACCAGAACGAAGGTGGTTATTTATGTGGCGTTTCGGGAGAATCGTGCTCGAGTGGCGACTGGAGGCAGGCGTATGCGGATTTTCTGGTGAAGTACGTTCAGGACTACGCCTCTGTTGGCATCGATGTCACACACTTGGGATTCTTGAACGAGCCGGACTATGTGTAAGCTCCTTCATGCTTGTCTGGTACGTTCGTCAGAAGGGGCCTGATTATTTAACATGTAGCACGAGCTACTCGTCGATGCAGTCCAATGGCGAGCAAGCAGCTGATTTCATAAAGGTCTGTCTTACTCTCGATCGGGTGGTTTATTGGATGCTGATACTAGCGCCATTTCAATTGAACCAACAGGTTCTCTCGGCAACCGTTCGCAATGCCAACCTCACCGATATCAAACTCACCTGCTGCGACGCCACAGGCTGGACCGCCCAAACCAACCTCACCGCAGGCCTCATCACCTCCGGTGTCGAGAATGATCTCGGCATCATAACTTCGCACTCGTACTCGTCTGACCCGACCACACCGATGAACACAAGCCTGAAAGTCTGGGAGACGGAGAATGCTGATCTAGATGGGGAATTCGTGCCGAATGATTGGTATAGTAGTGGAGCGGCGGGGGAAGGGTTGACGTGGGCGAGTAATATTCTGGAGGCGATTGTTAGCGGGAACGTTTCGGCGTATCTTTACTGGGAAGGTAAACCTCTTCACTTCTTTAATTCTACGCTTCGCATTTTCTTAGGATCCGCGTTTGAAATGCTCATACTGGTTCGTTGCAGGTGCCGAGGTCGGGGCGACTAATTCGGCCCTCGTCGATATATCGGGCACAACTCCACAAGCGTCCAAACGTCTCTGGGCCTTAGCTCATTACTCGCGCTTCATTCGTCCTGGTGCCGTACGCATCGACGCCAACTCAGACTCCAGCACGGATCTCAAAGTCGCAGCGTTTAGGAACATCGACGGTACGGTCTCTACCCAAGTGATCAATTCCGCAGCGTCTGTGCAGGATGTCACGCTAGCGCCTCAGGGATTCACTGTGCGGAATGGGACTGGATACGTTTCGGAGCAGGGGACGGAGTTCGGGAGACTAGGTGTTGAAGTGAGTGCTGGAGAGGTGACTGGGATTATTCCGGGACATTCTATGGTCACGTTTGTCCTTGAGATTTAGTTCTCTCGGCGAGTGTCCCGAAAACCTGTGTTTATTTGATTTTAGCAATACTATTGACATGTTCTGTGGCTACTAAGAGTAAGCTTTTACCAAGTCCGAAGAGAAAGTATGAGAAGTGAGGTTCCGGGCGAGAATCCGAGGCAACGTTGTTGCATATGCTCCAAGAAATGAGATATGGGTATGACAGATAGACATGTAGCACCAATAAATATGAAATGTATCGTGTATATGTATACGAAAGCACGATAGGTAACCAAGTAGGTGTAACAAGCGTCGGGGGAAAAGACATACCTCGTACAGAGCCGCAGCTTACTGTCATCTCCGTCGACAGCTTCACCGCTACCACCCAATTTGATCTCCCAGTACCGTATTCGCTACCACTATGGATCATAAGTTCCCCTTCATGCTCGTAAGGGTGTGAATAGCTAGCGTCGCGTTCGGATGGGTCAACGGTGAGGATGGATCCATATACGATGATTCGCCGCATGAGAAGGGGTCAAGAGCGAGTTCGAGGTCCATGTCAATATAAACGGACGAAGAAGCTGGAAAATGAAGTCAGAGTAGTAAATCGAAATAGATGGCAGAACATGAGAGGAGGTACAAGATAAGACTCGTTCATCGTAAGAGCGAAGTCGACAGAAGTCGACGTTGTGGCATCGCAGTCAGCGTTCGATTTTCACTTGTTCAACCGTCCTCTGAGCTCATCCGCGATCTAGCTATGTCTCTGCTTACCCTTCATCCGCGATCTTATACTCCCGACTCTGATTTCTTAACCCGAACTATCTGGTCTCCTTTCGTGCTCGTCTTGGTCATTCACCTCGAACCGTCCCTTCTCTTTGGACCACTCTATGACTGTCATGTTCCGGGAGGAGATGCGGGCATCGCTCCGGCTGCTACTTCATCATCCAGTGCTCGTAGGGCTACTCTGGATGTCTCCAGGCATTTTTATATGCAGTCATGTGACGGTGAAGGACACAAGTTCGACGGCGCGAGCTTGGTGTCATAGAACGCGGTGACTAAGATACGAGGGATGATTCTTCATACCTATCGGTCATATTGTCCCATGTTTCTATTCCACAACTACGCATATGACAGCTGTGGAGATGCTCTTCGGTAGATTATGGTCCCGTTACCTACCCTAGGCGCTAGACTGATGCTTGCGTTACGGGATGGCTGTCCGCTGGCGCATACGGGAAACTCGACGATATGCGTGACAGTGTTTCCCTTATTACCGGAATATAATTGACGTCTGGAAGTCGTCCCATAACTTGTGCATTAATGAGGTACCGTCACTGTTGGCGAGCGGGGTGTTTTTATTTCCGGTTATTCCAGCGTCAGACACGAAGTTGCTCAGACTTTTTTTTGTGTGTTGAAGTTCCGCGCTCCGTCCTATATTTGACATTGAAAAGTGTGCATTCACCTGTAATGACTCCGCTCAGTAGAGCCTCTATCGAAAATTCGTTTGCACTTGTTTGTACATCAAAAGCCGGGATGCAAAAGCCGATGTCAGTCTTCAAGTCAATTTTCGGGCCCGTCATCCGATGCTGTGGGGCTCAGTGCTTCAGCGTAAGGCCGAAAGAGATCATGGCTATGTTTTGGTAAGCTCAGGATTTAACAATGATCCGAGGATACGTAGACTCTGAGCCATCGTGAAGATACTTCACACTTCGGTGAGAAAGATCGTTTTCACTGCGTATGGTACCTCATGCTGTTGCGGCTAGCGTAACTCCAAAATCTTATGTTTGCGCTGGTACGACTCGTCCCGTTTTTCCAGGATAAAAGTCCTGCGGAACAGGTGCTGTTCATAATATTCTGTTGCACGTTTCCTTACTCGATACAATAGAGAGTTTTCGCCACCCGGAATCTGCCGAAAACGCTCAGATTCTCCAGAACGCGGGATGCGTCCACAAGGTGACGATGGCGTCCTTGCCTCTGGCAAGTCTAGGAGAATGTGATGAGCATCACATTTAAAAGGCTCTCAAATATCTTCACGATTTTCAATGCACGAAATACTGACGAGCGGAGGAATCTGGATCCGCCAGTCCAGAAAGATTTTCCCAGATTCTGGGTGGCGAAAACTCTCTAATGAAGCAAGAGGATGAAACTCTCCGGACAGTTCATACTTGATCGCGTGATTTCATTACACAGTGTCGTTTCTGCGGCGCAGATACGAATGTTGAGGTGGAGAGCAGAGGCTGTGGTTGGCTTCCCGTTTACGCACCGCCTTGATGCAAGTATGACCGATGCTTCATGGTGACCAATATTAACCATATCTGTCAATACTTCCACCGACCACCCCCTAGATAACGACATACTGTCGTCACAAATTCATGAACCGAAGCGAGGGCTGAAGAATGAGCTGCCTGTAATTGTACGATTCATAAATTGCAGGGCCACCCCGACTATTACCACGAGTTGGTACATACCTATGCCCGTGAGAAAGGCAATGCAGAAACTCTATGGACGGTATCCCGTCACCCTTTCTCTTCGGTTCGACATAATATAGCATTTATGCTCATCCGTATCCTAGACTCCAGTTATGCGCCTTCCATTGCAGACGAAACACGAGCCCGATGGGCAGTCCGATTGAACGCCATGAGGACTCATGATTATGCGATTATGCGATTATGAATCTCGTGCCACTGGCCTAGGGGATAGTATAAGAGGATTCTATCTCACATGAGCCAACCCTGCCCGTATATGTGGTTCAAAATACCTCCTATCGGCATCATTGGCATGCAATCTTACTGATCAAATAGATTAAGAGCGGGATGAGGGAAGAATGCATAGAAACGTGCCCGAGGAGCGTTGACAGCGAATGAAGTTAGATAAACTTCAACACAAAAAAAAAACAGCCCAAAAGCGTAGCTGCATGTGTCTCAATCCCAAGGACCCTCATCCTTGGACCCCCACTGCCATGATATCCTACACTATACGACAGATGGTGAGCCCTTCCGGTAAGTCTGTCCCTGTTTATTCATGTGCTTGTACAATGACGCGGTAGTTGTTAATTCTTGAGTGTCTACAGGATACGACCTCAACCGCGCAGAAAAGGTTCTCAACGAAGCCTTTGCAGATGGTAAGCCACATAACCTTCACAGCATTTCACAGCCCTTACCATAATTTCGCTCACCATCCACTCTTTCTCCACATCCATCAGAACACGCCTTCAAAGCCATAGTAGGGCGTAAATCATTTGCACAGCTCCTCACAGCCAACAACAGAGCACAGCTATTAGCGTGCTCCTTGGCTGGGGAAATCTATGTCGCTGAAGATGACGCAGGTCGCATGATAGGAGTAGCTCTTTGGTTCGGTCCTGGGAGAGACATATATGACAGGTACCAGAGATTGTTCTCCCACAATTTCCAGAGAACAAAGAAGGCTTATACTCGTATTTCATGCTAGTGAGGACCAAAGAAGCATCGCCCTTAATCCATTCCTTGCACAACTACCACATGATGTACGACAATGGACCATACAATCAATGCCGAGAATGAAAGCATTCCAGGAGCAAGTGTTTGGAAAAGGAAATACCCGATCGCAATGGTACTTACAGCGCATTGGTATCATTCCGGACCGCCAAGGAGAGGGCATCGGGACGGAGCTTCTTGACATGGTTCGTGACAAGGTCAGTGAACCAGCTCGAAGGAATAGGAACATGGCTAACGCATACTTGTATGTAGGCTGGCCGCCGCTGCGTCCTTGTGGAGGCGACAGATGATGAAACCGTGAGTATAGTAATTTATGGAGCCATATTGTACTAGACTAATATAAACGGATTATTTTACTATAGTGCGAGTTCTACGAAGCCATGAAGTTCGAGGAGCGAGGAGATCTCGATATGGAAGCTCCAAATGGACGTTTCAAAACCTACGCCTTCCTTTGGTCCCATTCGGACACAAATGGATCCACATAATTACAGAGTTCAAGGCCTCCAAACAAGGCCTCAATGCTGCCAAGTGAAAGTGACGACAGGAAGCTACGCATTATTCATGTGGGGAATCATGAGCGGAGATGATACTGTTGACCGTATTCATCTTCCAGATATGCTCCTGGTGTGTCCATAAATACGGACAGACTGAACCTCTGATGAAATGATATCAGTCCACAGTTTCAGTAACCGATAAGACCACAAGTCGTGTCATGCCAAGCCGGTGGCCCCAGGCAGGCAATACCAGTCTCGAATAATACTAAATACATGCAAACGAGACATGTAAACGCCTACCGTACCTCATTGGCGGTGCATATCGATAGATTTACTAGAGGAATACAAAACGTTGCATGTGAGGATATAGCTGGGTGAACCGTATACTGGTTGACTCATGCAATGCGATCGACATGGTTGAAACTTTGCAATAATGCAAAATATAGGGTCGACGTAACTTCAGCTGTTTGGTCATCCCTGATCAATACGATCTGCATATTTAGTAAGATCATCTTGCTGTAATCGCAAACCCCCATATACGCCGATACAAGACTCCCGGAGGCTCGATAGGTCAGACCACCAGCGTACAAGAATCATCATGTCTGCATCATAGGATTCGGCGATCGATCTTGCGGTTATATACAGCTCAAACACAGGGACACTGAAGGAATGATAAGGAGAACGACCATGAAGGACGAGAACACCGTTATTATCGTGTACGTTGGCCTGTTTCAATCTTCGCGTACGAGCATGACGGATGTGGCGCAGGATATGTCGGGTGAGTGCAATGTATCATCGGTCCGCAAGGACATGTAGCTATATAGTGTTAGACACAGTTGGCTACGACCAGTGATAAATTGATGGTGGTGCTATCATGATCACGTCTCACGGGCAGCAATGACTGTGTGGCAACATCCGAGTAAGCCATGAATGGCGAATTTCAACACACAAAAGATATAAGAGGGGGTAAGACCATGAGCCCCCTTTACGAACTACGACCTGTGTACCCATTTTTCAAGAACACTATGCGCTTCAACACCCTTATCTCTCTATCCACTCTCGTGATGGTTATCTCACCCACCCTGGCTGCAGGCTCCGGAGGTCGGTCATCCATACAATCACTGCTCAAAGATACAGACGACACTGACCACTCATTTTATCCCAGGACCGCCGGATAGTCGTGCTCTCAATACCAACTTGGGAGGTACGCATAGGCTTCCCCGCACCATCATATAAGGGCTCACGTTCAATGTAGCAGGCATAGTCAATCGTGCTAACTCTGGAGGTAATATTAAATAATGTTTTCTCTTGTATGAAACGTCACTTAACCTCACAAAATCTAGGTGCTCCGGGGAAAGGACGTGCTAACTCTGGTGGTAAGTTCTGGTATATCCTTCCAGAGACTCATTTCAAGAGTTGATAGAACCAACGGTCGCAGGTGCGCCCGGAAACGGTCGGGCCAACTCCGGAGGTTAGTATCAGCAGACGATTCGAGTCTTTGAAACTACAGTCCTGACGAGCCGTACGTCCAGGTACCCCGGGCAAAGGTCGTGCCAACTCAGGCGGTAAGTATTGTCGTGAATGTTGCATGAAACAGTAATTAAGTGCTCAAGCATTTTTGTGCGCAGGCGCCCCTGGAAAAGGCCGAGCCAACTCTGGCGGTAAGCGTCCTATGCCTGATCCCCATAATTGGAGACTTATGAATGTGATAAAACTAGGTGCGCCTGGAAACGGTCGTGACATTACCGACGGTAAGCATATACTAGCAGTGGCCCTACCTATCGCCAAATATTGGTTTTGACATCGGACCTCATTGAAGTTGAGTGATCATCATCAAACCTGGAGTAAACATTACTTCTTCGAATCGGGCAGGATAGGAAGAGGTGGTAGGTTGTACGATTATACCGCAGACTGTTGGTGATGTAACTGTGACAGGGATTTTCGGGAGTGATTCGACACAATATATTGGAGATGTCGATAAATTAGTTTCGATAAGGTTGGAGTACATCGGCGATGAGCAAAAAGAAAAAATAGCGGCTACGTATGTCACTTCATCCAGACAGCCGTTCGCAAGCCGTGAGCCCTACAGGGCCTCTGATAAGTCCTTCCTTACGAGACCGGGGTGCTCGGTCCATAGCGGCCAAGGGTTTCCCATCCATGTTACGAGCTCTGTGTGATCCCTATACACATCGCCCGTATTCGGATGTATCAGCACGCTTCAAAAATTGATATATATTCCGTTGGGTAGGTCGGTGTTCGAAAATTTGTAGAATTCGCATGAATTTGGAAGACAGATGGGTAAAGTGGTATGAGATTTATCAAAGGTGTTATTGAGGAATAGGAAGACGCGTAAGCAGCTGTGCGACTGAAATGCAACAGGACACGTACGAGCATGGGCCACGATGGACTGTCAACCACGAGAAGAAAGCACCGGTCTGGTGCGGGCTAAATGTATTGACTTCAAACATGGCCGTCGGGTGAGGACCTTCGCCATCGAGTCCAGGTGCCATGTAAGTGATGGATGATTTCCGTCAAAATAATCCGTCAATCCCATGGAGGATGAAGACAGGTGTAGTGCCATACTCACCGATGGGTTCTTCAAAGAACTTGAAGACATGTAGCTGAATATTCAGTGTCAGACAACGAGTGGTATAGGATGGTACGAGTGTTGTATAGTCGGGTTCACCTCAGGAAATTCTCTTCGAACTCGTTCGTGTAATAACCTGGCATACTCGAGCTGCGCTGGGACACATTGCATGTAGTATACTGTCAATTTGAACCGATAATTCTGTCAGGCTCGGTCTCGACGATAAGAAGATATGAATATACGAACTGTGGAAGTCGAAGCCATTGCTCGAATTATGTATTGGAGCAGGGAACTGCTCATACGCAGCGGAGAGAGGACCCGGAGGATTAAACAACGACCGTCCGTCAGAATTGTGGGTGTTAGGAAGCGGCTCAGAGTTCTCATAACCCTTCAAGAGAGATTCATAGGGCATGGTGAGAGGCTATACTGGGATCGAGACAAATCAATTGTGGGCCGAAACGATATTTTAAATGCGAAGAGAGAATCCCATGATGAGCACTTACGCCAAAGGGTTCAGAGCTTATGTGCGACTTCGTCCGAGGATCCCGTGCTTTCCGATACTGCTTTGAAAGCTATTTATGATAAAGAAGCAGAACTCGTAAGAGAAAGGTTATAATATGCATTCCTATGAGAACAACGAAGGGATCTCGGAACTTCCGGATGATAAAGGCTCGCATAAAAACGAATGCCTGGTATCATGACGATCTTCACCTTGAATTATATAACTATGCACGGTAGGAAGAAGATCCAAGCTGCTAGTCATACTGTCGTCCGTCATACATTCACCATCGCTCTCCATGAGCCAATCGCGGCCACAGAGATATACACTCGGTCCCATGCAAGCATGGGCTTCTTCTCCTGAAGTTCCTTACGTCGATTACTCTCACTTATGGACCCACAGGACCCATTCGGACAAACAGCCATTGAAAACGTTTCAATATCTCCGGCCACAGTCATGCATGGTTTGCAATGGTAAGCGTCACCGACTACGTGATATCTTATTCAGATATGTGGACGCGACCCTCGAAGTGTCAGCGAGATGAGTGGCATAACCGTTCCGAGCCCGATACAGCGCAGAACGAGCAATTCGTCTACACGTCTGATATGTATCGTATGGTGGCGAGCGGCGGAAGGATGCACAGGTATGTATGGCGATGAGTATAAGCCCGAGCATGTCTTCTAAAGGACGTATGGAGGGACGCAAAGATGGTCCTTCGCGATTCTCCTATAGAAGCGAACCGCTGCAGTTTATTAGACATGACGATGCAATCATTTAATCGGTTCACCATAAACGGACGAACCACGCATGCCCACTCCCGATATCCAAGATTCCTGGAATATCATAGAGCGGACGTCCGGCTGTTCATACGTTCTGGATCAGTGGTTCAGATGCCAAGGTAGAGTCGAGTGGGATGCTCCAGGCGCCAAGCCAGTACGGAATGTTGAGCATCGAGCACCAGTGCTGAACAATTGTGGATGAAGGGGCGTCCAACGCAGAAGAACGGCATATGCATATGAGCATATGTACATGACTTGATCGGAGGTAATGCCAAGAGCACGGTAGATCGAGGGTGAAGTCTGACGAAACACGCGTCCGTCCTTGTCCGGATATAAAGAAAGGAAGCAAGATACTATCGATGGAGCGAGTATGTGTATGTGTCGGTGTCTCTATGCCTTGATCTAAGTAAGTGAGAAAGCGAGTAAACAAACGCACGAAAACCAGAGGACGAAAGAATGGAAGACCGAGTCGGGTCGTGGAGATACCTGAGTACCAGTACTAGTTATGATATCAGCGTGTCCGAGCGAACCAGTTCAGTTTGTTCGTCGAGGGTGGTTGGTTGTTTGGGTGACATGAAGTGAAGCGACGAGGGTCCTCTCCGCGGGAGGGGACGAGGAAGGAGGGAGATGTGTCGGTGAAGAGGAGATGGTATGCAGAGAGTTATTTCCGAAGGGGAATGCCGCCAGAGATGTACGAGGAGGATGATGAGATAGCGCAGACGGCCGATATGCATCAACACTAGATTGTTGCATTAAATATACCGATAACACAGGAAAGCAAGCGTGGCGAGCCGATTTCAACGACAACAAGACAAACGGACAAACATACGTCTAAAGCTCGTGCCTTAGATGCCATACAACGACGAGACCGTTATGATGCTGATCAGGTGGAAAAGACGTACAATTCACAGAGCCGAGGTACAAAAGACAATAACCCACGGTCCTCATCCAGATCACAGATGCTTCAATACACATGCGCAGTCTACCCTTCCATAGCATACAACATGCGTATTCCAAAACTGAAGGATGTGCGAGGATAGAATAGAGGTTCGAGAGCCGCGCGTGGATGGCGAGTGGACATGGAGTCGAAAGCATACAGTGTAGAATGAACGCACGATACACAGTTCGGAAGCCGTATGCACCCGGCTGCGAGCCACTCCGTTCAAGTTACGCCGCCAAAGGTTACCCAGCGCAAGGATTAAGCACAGTCTCCTTGGTACGTCCGCAAGTGGTAGTGAAGGCATTGTGGCGATTAGAAAATGGACGGAGTAGTCATCTGGGATAGCCAAGTCAGGAGGGAACGACGACGACTGAAAGACCTCACTCACGAAGGAGCAGTACAAGGGCGCAGACAAGTAGGAGCCGCTTCAGGTAAAATGAGTGAGTATAGACCAATGGTATCAGGTCAAGGTCTGGATGACGTGGAGCTGAGGTGAAAGGTTTAGAGCAGAAACGACGATGAGCGGTTCAGAGCCCAGCTGCGAGCATACTGGGAGAAACTGAGAGTGCGTAGATATCCTGCAAGGGCAAACATCTTTGAGGCGCGATGGCTGGTGTCGAGTAACGGTCGTCGCTGGTCGTCGTCGTTGAAGAAGAAGATCTCGGGCCACTCCGGCACCGGTACCGGATCAAAACTCCGGAAGTTTCCGCATATCGCCACAGAATCACCGCCATCAACTCGCCACATCGCCTCATCCTCGATGCCTCACAGTGCCTCACCTCCCACCATACGCATCTCGCTTTGCTCTTCCCAATAACCAATCAACCAACAGGATACCACACACGCGAAAATAATTTGCACAACAAACGCTTCAAGTCAGCTTGGACAGCGCCGAACCGTTATATGTCTGAACGCCGCCTTCTGCGTCCCCCACGTCGAGACGCTCGTCATGAAAGAGAAGATGCAGTGGTGTTAAGTCGCGATGATCCTATTTGGCAGGACAGGCTGTGGTCGGATGCGATGGGCAGGCATTCAGCCGGAAGGATTGGACCGGTGCGTCGTTTTTCCCTTCTGTTATACGGCTGGCCTTGCCTCGTCCTGTTACTACTATTTGCCAAGCATTCCTCCTCTATGCACCTGTACATAATGAACTCTCTGTATCATGCAGCATGACTGTGCTCTTCGATAACAAATTTTTGGTCCTTAATTACCCTGCATTGAACCTCCTGCAGAAGCCAGGACAAGAGTATCATACTCATAGCCGCGTCATTTGTATAGGGGAATGAATTAAAAGTTGAGAAATCATGCCGTGCGTGTAAACTGCACGACATTCCTTATTCTGTCCTTGTGAGTGGCTTCCGATAATGTAAGAGCTTGAGTAGATAGCAGAAAGGTCAGTTTCGCGCTATGGCTTTCGCCGTACAAACGTTCAATGGCCCAAATACGGACACAAAACAATCTTAGAACAAGCTGTGCTAATCCGATGCATCTGCCGTGAGACTGCCCGTTTAAACGCCAAAAGCCTGTGCCTCTGCGTCTCCTCACCTGTCTCTGTCTTGACCCCCACCTACGACTCTTGCTGGTTACTCCTCAGAACACGTCCTCTATGACCGACCAACTCCATACTTCAGGTTTAAGGCTGGGCCAACTATGGCGAGAAGCTTTAGTAAAGTATGCCGCCGATACTCCCGATGGTACTCTATCGTCCGCGAGCGATATTCCCCTCGACCCAGATCAGGTCCTAGACATCGTCGAAGCCCGCATGAATGGTTTCAAAGCGTTCAAGGAGAGAAAGAAGAAGATCAGAGAGATACTTGGACCCGTCCTTCACATCGTGAAGTCGTTATCAGATACAATCAGCTCAGCACTGTCGGTGGACCCGGGGCTTGTGAGCGACCTCTCCAATTTTCGCATGTTCTGTGATTCACTGATTTTTGTCTTTGTCTCTTAGAGTTACTCTTCAGCTGCGAAGCCGGTATTCCAACTATTCAGTGCCTTGGTACAGGTATGGTTGCTTCTAAGATCGAGCGGAACCAGGCGCTTTCTGACATCGTTGATATCCAAGGCTGCGAAAGACTCTAGCGCAAACTACGATATGATACTCAAACTCCTCGAGGACTGCCGTCGCTACCTCGATCACGTTATTCTTCAAATCAGCAGCACTGTCACCGAACAACAGAAACGACTTATTGTGGACACATTGGTGGAAGTACTGTCAATTCTTGCGATGGCGAAGAAGGAGATTGTGAGGGGTAGAGCGAGTAACTAATTCCAACCTCAGTGCAACAATACCTCTCTTGCTGACTGTTGCGACCTAGCCCGCTTTCTCAGAAATCTCGTCGGGAAGGGTAGCGATGTGGCCGATGTGCGGGATAGGTGGAACCGACTCTTGATGTGGGATGACAAGACGATGGGCGCGACGACTCTGGATAACACCGTCAGGATCAAGTCGCAGGATACTGATACGCTTGGCTGCACCGAGTATCTATGGTAAATTGTTTTTGCGATATTTCCCGCTTTTATCCACTGCTTAGTCCTTAACTCCCAAGACAAACAGGCACAGGCACTAAAAACGCTCGTGGACGAGTTGAAATCAGCCCTACAAGGTATGAGATCTTATATTCAAATGATGAGTATATTCCATCACCAATGTGAGACCACTACAGACGTCAAAGCCGAATGCTCCTCGGAAATAGCAGAACTTGTCGACAAGTTCACAGTCCTCGCTATAGATGTGAAGCCAGAGGATAGGACAGAAATATCAGAGGTCGCATCGCTGTTGAGAGGTTTGGCTCTCGAAATGAAAAGTACGCGTTTGGAAATCTGCGTAAATTCACCACCGATACATGTACTGAAGGTTCCTGGGTTTTCGGTAGGGCTAGCGGAGGATGTTGCGTCAATCAAGGTAACAGTGCAAGGTGTGTTCCTCTTTCTTCAAGACTGTCATAGCTCCTGAAACCTGATGATTGATCTTGAAGCGTTGCCAGTCCCAATCGTCATGGAGCCCAATGAGATCAAACGATGCCCACTCCCGACACCTACCTTTACCGGTAGAGAAGACGTGGTGCTACAGATGGACAACTGTTTCTTTGATGGAACGAATAAGCGACACCTCTTCGTTATTCATGGTCTCGGCGGTGCTGGTAAGAGTCAGATTGTCTACAAATTCGTGGAGAGGTGCGATGAGCGAAATGGTGAGGACGAAAGGTATGTCTCGTCAATCAGTAACTCTGCTCGTCATATCTGTACCATCCGCTAAAACATTTCCATTAAATAAGGTTCTCTGAGGTTTTCTTCATCGATGCCGGTTCCCGCGAGACGATCACAGCAGATTTCAAGAATATCGCGTTGAACAATGGCTGTGATCCGACCAACACGGCTGTACTTGCTTGGTTCTGCCGACATCGGACCAGATGGCTCATTATCTTTGACAACGCCGACGATCCTGCCTTGAATATTCGTGACTACCTTCCGCAATGCACTCACGGTGACATCATTGTTACCACTCGTAATCCCGAGGTAGTGGCGCACGCTCGAGGTCGCAGACCATTTTACAAAGTCTCGGGAATGCTCCCAGAGGAGTCTAGCCGGCTTCTTGTCTTGATATCGACTCGCGGAATGGACGACGAGTCGTCGATCCCAGCGGATGAGGCTCAAGCCTCCCAATTGCTTGTTAAGGTTCGTCACAAACTATACACACAATATATCATGCATTCTGAGAAAGGACGCAGGACCTTGGATTCCTCGCCCTCGCTGTCGTCCAGGCCGGTGCATATATTTCCACCATACAGTCCACGATTGCCGAATATGCCGATCTCTACCGGCAGCGACGTGGTGAGCTCCTCAAGGAGTACCGCACGCTCGTGCAGAAGACAGACGATTATGGAGCTACTGTCTACACAACATGGAGGGTCAGCTTTGAGCGACTCCCCACCGAGGCCCAGCAGCTTCTGCGAGTTTGCGCGTTTGTGCACCACGAAGGGATCTCGGAGACATTCTTCAGCCATGCATCTGACGAGATACTGGACTTTGAGCCTGTCATACCCATGAGCGACGACGAATCTGCCGCGTTTGACTCAGCCCGTACATTCCTAACTGAATTTGAACGCAACGGAGTCTGGGATAAAGTTGCCTTCCACGGAGTCATTCTGCAGGTTATGTCTTACTCGCTCCTTGATTTTGATAAAGCCAATAAAGTATACTCGATACATCCACTAGTCCATGAGTGGTTACGTGTCACTCTTGGTAATCCATATACTTATACTACTCGACTGTGTGTGCAGTTCGTACTATCATTGGCAGTCTCCAACGATGACTCTACTGTTGGACTCACCCATAATCGATACTATTGCCGCATATTGATAACACTGTCGAAGGGCGGTACCATAAAGTAGGAAGTGAAGTAGCCTCACGTATCCGTGGAGTGTACGACGACGCGGGACGTTGGATAGAGACAGAGCAGCCAGACAGGACGGTGCTGGAGATAAGGAAGCGGATGCTGGGGGAGGAACACCCCTCGACGCTGACGAGCATGTTGAACCTTACGGCGACATACCGGAACCTGGGTTGGTACCGGTGGACAGATGCGGAGAGGCTGCGGGCGACGGTGATGGAACCTAGGAAGCGCGTTCTCGGCGAGGAGCACCCCTCGACACTGACGACAATTTCGAACCTTGCGTTGACATACTCGAGACAAGGCCGGTGTACAGAGGCGGAGAGTCTGCAGCGGACTTCAATCTGGGTCGGTGGATGATGGAGGAGAGTATGCAGGCGAAGGAGATGGATATCACTAAGCGCACTCTCGGCGAGGAGCACCCAAACACGCTGACGAGCATGTCGAACCTCGCGTTGACATATTCGAAGCAGTACCGGTGGACAGAGGCGGAGAGATTACAGGTGTCGGTGTTGGAGACGAGGAAGCGAGTACTCAGTGAGGAGCATCCTAATACGCTGACAAGTATGTCAGACCTCGCGTCGACATACTTGCACCAGGGCCGGTTGACAGAGGCGGAGAGACTGAGGGGTAGACTCCTAGAGGTAGAGACGCGCAAAGCAGAGTGTGACAAAGAGTAAATCCTTGTTACCCGCTTTTTTGTCTTGGTAGTCAAATTCGAACATTGTACTTTTTGATCTAATACATCACGCGTACAGTAGTCCAGGCCCGAATAATGCATGATAGATGGGTATAAAACGAAGACGTAGCAGAGAATTTCTCAAGCCCGGTTTAAGTTCGTGAATGTGAATGCAGACGGGGACTTCTGAGAGGGAGTGCGATGGGGCTTGGACCAAAAGCATAGTTGTGCCGCGTTGTGCGAAACAGATGAGGTCAAGGACGAGGATCTGGATGGACTGTAGACATCGTGAGGCGGGACGACCGGCGTAGTTGAACGATATTACGGATGGGCGAAGGGCAAGCCAGAGACACCGTAAAGAAAAAGGAAGCAGCGGCTGATAACGTTTTCGTACATTTCTCAGCAGATAGTGCCAGAGAACATGTCATTTACGTTCAGCGATAATCTAAGAGTCTCCGACCAAGGTAATCCAGTCAGGAGATTATAGGGCACATAGAGTAAAGATGAAGGTAGCTAGATGGAGAACATGACCATTGCAAAGTCAGTTTCGGAGCACGAAGAGTACTCGCCCGAGCTTTTGCTTTGCGTCTCTCGTGATGGGAGGATGCATTGATGTGTGAATGAGCATACATAATGGCACGTCTCCCGGAGAGCCTACAACGACATGTCGATCGCCGTCTTCGCTTTCACTAAACAATGAAGGTACGCACAAGGTACGCAGCACATTAGCTGTTCCATTAGCGTTGTGATCTGAGCCATCCGGTCGTGCGTGCATTCGTTCGTTCATCGAAGTTCGTTGGGCGGTTGGCTGACTGGTTAGTTGATGAGGTCATACTGGCGGATGCGGGAGAGGCTGGGGCTGAGAATGGAGGGAGGGTGAAACCACCGAGGTCGTGAGGAGAGGTGATTGTCGGGTGAGAAGGCGGTATGTAGAGAGTTAGTGCTGAATGAAAATGATCGTCAGATATGTACGGCGGAGAAAAAAGGAAGAACGCAGAGTACCGACCAGATTCGGAGCCGCAAGAGTTATGTTATATCGAAAGCAAGCGAGCGAGCGAGCTGAGGACGCTCGCGGGTTATAATATTTATCATCTCGTCGAGGACAATTTAGCCTTCAATAGACCGTATCTGCAACCGTTTAAAACAGGTTTAAAACTGTGATCGGGCGTCCCGTTGGGCCTTAGCGAGCTTTAGCGAGGTCAAAAATTCACTCGCAGATACGGTCTAATCGCACACATCACCCGTCGTCCAAGAATGAAGGGTAGTAGAGCCCAAACGCGAGCATATCTCCGACGAACACTTCCGAAGTCCAAAGTATGCACAATTCCCAAAGGAGCAGCGGACAGGTAATTTCGAACCTAGAGCGAGTATATCGGAAGTGAGACAGAGGTTTCGAGTGAGATACAAGCGGGGTTTTACCCAGTGAATGTCGTCCTTAATACTCCCAAGGTAGTAAAACGTGGTTCGAAAACGGAGGGGGAGTCGGGTGGTTCAGGTGGGCCCCCACGACGAGACTCCACGCACGAAGGAGAGATACGAGGGCGGAGACAAGTGCAACTTACGTATCATCGCGTCAACCTCCACTCTCATACAGAACACATGTATCATAGATGGAAAATGAGTGGGAGTAGAGTAGGGCTTTCAGAGTCCAGCATGCGTATGTGGAGCTCGCCCAGTGCGAAAAGAAACGACGACAGGTAGTCCCGAGCCCAGCTGCAAGCATATCAGGCGCCAAGTCACGAGAAGCTGGGAGCGCGAGCTAGTCGTGTCCTACCCAGAGTTAGGCATCTCCAGCGATTCGGACAGGCGCGATTCAGATGTTTGGTGAATGTGGCACCAGAATCCCAGGACATAGCGATGGCTTCCCCATCTTCCTTCGAACTGGATGAATCCATCGAAGCCGGCCGAAATGCTCTAGATGCCATTCAAGCACAAAGTCCGAAGTCACAATACCGGACGCCTAGAACACGAAGAAGTATAGCATCTGCGTGGCTGATTCAAGCAGTTCGAAGAACACACACACACACACACACACACATAACCCATGCTAAGGTTGACGCTGAGGTCAGCCGACAACGCGTATGCCATTGACAGGATACAGCGAGAGGGTAGGAATCCGTGCTATCGATCGCGGGTCTGTGGGCGGCTGAGCGAGTGGACGAAGAGCAAAGACAAGCAAGGTTGTGTCGTACGGAGTCCGGCCTCAGTATTAGCACCCGTATCGGCGTCAGAGCCTGTTCCATTGTCATCGAGACCTGAACGGGCCGTGCGTTCGTCGACGTCCGGAGAGGAAAGGAGAGTTGTGGGTCGGTATGTGGAGTGTTAGATTTGAGAGAGATTATCGTCCGATGTACGAGGAGAAAGGAGTGACTGAACGGGGCACAATCCTACCATAGTCCGAGCCGCAAGAAATTTGAATACACCAATAAGGAAGAAAAACAAGCAGGGCGAGGTACCGATAGAACACCAGTCGATTCGAACACAAGAACAGAAACGGCGTCTGTCCGTCAGTCCGAGCTTTAATCGTCATTCATGCGAAACTACGACTCATCGAGCCAAGCAGAAGTATGAGGTACGAGTGAAATAGCCGAGGTACAGAAGACAAAAGACAAAAGCGCCAGGTCCTGACCCCCACAAAGCGAATGATCCATGATGGGTGTAGCAAAGACCCAAAAGCCAGCATTCGGATGAATAGATCCGAAGTCAAAAAGAATACAGTTCACAGAAAATCGCGAAGAAGCAGTTGCAGTTCTGGACCCGTAGCAAGCATATCGGATCTGAAGAGGCCCAAAGTTGCGAGTGAGATCTCATGCCGAGCGCGAGAATAGGTGACAGTCTTCTTTAATATTTCGGAGGCGTGGTATTGAAGGAGTGATGATGCTTCGGACCAAAGAGTAGACGTGTCTAAGCCTAGACGATTTCAGACTAAACGTCGGGGTATAAATGACGAGGAGTCCTGTCAAAAGCGTACAGTTGGCGAGAATAACGAGCAGCAGTCCTACTACGCGGTCAGCTACAAATATATTCTGAGTGAGAGCTAGTCGAGAACCCCACGGCTATGATAATCATAAGCTATCGTGTTGAGTACCCAGTCCATCAGTCTTCAAAACACATACATCACCTGTAGTCCAAACCTGGACAACAAGTGAGATTAGACGAAGTGTAACAGAGGATCCCGAAGAGAAGCGCACGGATGACGAGAAACTGTGACATCGAAAGTATACAGTCCGCGGAAAAACAGAGAAGAAGCGGTCCCAACCCCATAGCGAAGGTTACGAGTAGGAATACGGGTGCTGTTTTATCCTGTGACGGTCGCCCTTCGGCGTGGTAGTGAAGCTGTTGTGGGGGTCCGAAAACAGAGAGAGCAATCATATGGGGACAGGGGGAGACACGACGACAAGATATTGCCCACAAAGCAGAAGGAAGAGGACCGAAAGACAAAAGGACACGATCCGGATGTCTATCCTTGAACCACATATATCGCCCATGGCCCACATATGAGAGACGATTGAGCGTGAACGAAGTGTAACAGAGGACCTCAGAAGCAAGCATGTGGATGACGAGTAGATTCGAGGTCAAAAGGTGTGCATACCGCTCGCCGAAACGACGGTTAACAGTCTCGGTAAATACCCAGGTGCGAGGATCCTGGAAGTGAAGTCGCCCAAAGTCACGAGTATGAAGCTCAGTGTCGAGTGGTGGCAGTGAGGGAGTTGAAGTGTTTCGGAGAGGGAGAGCGAATTCTCTGCATAAATATGGCTGAAGAGGGAACGGACGACGATGGTGAGACCATTGACGAAGTAGAAGTACGAGGGTGAAGCCAAGTACGAGTGGCAGAAGTGCTAGAATTGAGATAATGCGAGAAGCTCACATTTACGGGCCCATTCATGACGTGGAGCATCCAACACAATAGGCGCCAACCGCATACAGCATGCATGGACCATAGACGGAGGATGTGCCAGGATAGAGGAGAGCTTCCAGAGGTCAGGGTGTGCATTACGAGGAGCCGGGGTTGAAAGCGTGAAGTGCGCAGAGAAACGATGTGGCCCCAGCTAAGTTGCGAAAAGATGAGAGCACGGAAGCTGCTTATATCCTACGCATGGCGGGCCTTTTCAGGGCTCGATGCAAGCGCGATGGCTGGAGGATGAGTCGATGAATGCGGAAAGGGGAGGAACTGGAATCGAAAGCGTAGTAGAGAAACGACGAGGAGCAGTCCCGGTACGAGCATAACGAGGCCAATTGCGAGAACCCAAGAGTACGAGTGCTAGTTGTATCCTGCGGAGGGCGAGCATCTTCGAGGCGGGATGTGTGGTTGGCTCGGGTGACGATCGTCGTCGTCGTTGAGAGAGAAAAAAAAGCGCCCACTCGGCCCACGCCGGAACCGGATCGGAAGTCCGGACCCCTCCCGCCACCTCAGCCATCGCGGCACCACATCGCCTCGTCCTTGCCTGCGACCATCTTTCTTCGCCTTCGCTCGCTTCTGCTGTCCTCCCCCAAATCAACCAACACGACCACCAGGCACGCACAAACAATGCGCACACTAAATGCTCAAATCCAGTGTGCACATCGTCCGACCCTGTTTCGAATAGCACTCAGGTCGAACGCTTTGCTTTCTCGTCGGCAGATCAACGAGAACTGTCATTTTCGCTCCCCTGTACGGTGTACGTCTTTCATATATCCGGTAATCCACGTAACAGATACCGTGGTTTTCCCTCTGGTTTCCGGCCTGTCCCACATACAGTAAAGCTCCTTCCCATATTTATCTCACCGCCGTCTTCGTCATCTTGTGGTTTTACGAGCGGTGGTCGTATGCTTTATCGCTGAGAAGAAATGTCATCGTCCAGATATTGCGGCTCAATACTATCTGGGTAGTCGCCACAATCACGACATAACCTCATGAGCCCTGCTTACCACGCTCTCAAGCAAGCGTGGAGAAATCCACTTCGACATAACTTAGTATGCCTTGTTTTTTTGAAGATGCACTCGTGCTCCACAGGACGGCAATTCCCCAGACTACTACACCCACACGACGCGCTAAACGTGTTCTGATATTGAAAATCATTCGTTCCATTCGCCCTTTTTTCCGGTTCCCGAGGCCTCGTGGTTTTTGCACTATCGAGTTTGGTTACGATTTGTCCTCATTTTCGGTGCGTCTTTCATAGCATTCTGTCTCCTCGCCCTTCTAAAGTTTTGTGTGTACGCCTACCGTACTCCATAACGGATCTATGATTGTCAAACAAAAATACATTCCTCGCCCTTCCAACTTTGATGAACCCTTACAGAACCGGGATACCCTCTTCCACGCAACCGTATTCCGCAAGTTCTCCGGGGGATCCACATCATATTCCAATTCCCTTTACACCAGCCTGCAGTGCCATTGGCTCCGTCGCATACAGCGCGTGAAATAAGATGACACACTGAAGGAGGTATCTAATTTTCATTGACACGGTAGTTGTTGAGATTGAGCTGGAAGCTATCTCGAACGAGAAGTTGCTCACGTCTCCCTTACAGTTTAGGTCGATCCATGCCGTCTTTTTTCGGTGACAGTTGGTATGTCCATTTCTTCAAATTTGAAGCTCCGGTGAACCCAAGTCGATAACGCCCGCCCAAACTGACTACCTCTCCGAGCAGTGCATTAACAGTTTCCTCTCACGCCCAACCAGGCCTGGGCGAGAAAATACATGGTATGTCAATGTCCAACTTTACGATATGTCTGGTAATGGAAATCAGGGTAGGATCTGCAAGCTATCTGTCGTTGTCGAAGTACGTCTCTAGACATTTTGGAGTAAACTTAGGAGATATTCATGCTAGTCAGGTTCTGTATCAGTGATACCACCGCGACTGGTGCCTCGGTTAACCCATGAAGGGTAGGTTCCATGTCATGAACATGGCATCGTGTACACATCTCCTTGTATGATGACACGAGCTGTATATGACGAGCATCATTCTCCAGGATGCGCTCGATGATTTTGGTGTTCGCCTCCATCGTCCCAGCGAGTTGGTGAGCTGTTTTCAGACGCTGATCTTGTGAACCGCTGACATATTGGACAATTTTTGATGTAGGGTGAAAGATGGGATGTCAGTGTGGCACTGGGGGCACGTAGTCCCTCGAATTTCAAAATATGATATTGCAGTACGAGCTTAAGCAATACTAACTCCAGTAGTGCTTCAGGACAGCCGCCGACATCCATGAGCAACTGCGTTATGGTCGAAAGGAAGTAGCCAACATCTTGACTCCAAACTCAAGACGATGAATAACCAAAGTAACTGAGTTAGTACAACCTCTTCATGCTTCATCCGTCTGCATTTCCATATCCCGTATGGACCGCTCTTCCATTCGACTACTTGTCACCGAGGAACCTGTCTTATCATTTCATTATTTTCAGCGCTTGATACACAGACTTATAGACCTTTTGTCTAAGCTCGGCATACTCTACAGCAATTGCAACAGACCAACGGAGCAGTATAATCCTGCGCTCCCAGCGGAGACCAAGGACTCCCGGTACACGGATAAATATTGTTTTAGGTACCCAAGAACGTGCGTCGTTCAGGTGCGTACAGTACAGAGCTATCGCTGTTTGATAGTGGCAATTCCCATGATCTCTCAGACTAGGCTACAGTGACCGATACTACGGTCTTTCCATCACGCAAACGATTTCTCTTACTGGCCGATAGCCCCTTGATTTTGAAGCTGTCTTGTGGCTCCTGGACTGACACTTCAGTTCATTTCTTACTTGCTCGGTTTAGTGATCAATGTAAGTACGGTGTAAACCGTTACTCTATGGATCTAGCATTATGTAGGGCATATAAATGAAAGCTCCGAAATCTCAATGTGCGGGTGTGGAGGGGAGAGGCGTGTGGGTGTCTCACTCCACCCCATTCTTTAACTATCATATGGGGCGACCGTGCTGTAGTCCCGAACAGAGTTCAGAGCCAGCTGCTGCTCCATTGACAATGGAGCTCACGTTCGTTGGCCTCGTTCCCGCTGTCCAACATCTTCCTCGTACCGCCGTCAGGATTTGTTACTCGTATTTGGTAGATCAGTCCGTTCTTCCGGATTTGCGGCGTAGAAGGTGCATGAATAAGTACTGTCGTGATGTACGCTGTCATCGGCGAAGTCATTGTGAGATTGAGCCGGATCTTCATGAGAACTGCTTTGGTGGTGCCATCTCCGCCGAGGATGCATGCGTACCACCAGTCGTTTAGGCTCTGATATCTTAGCCGCCTGCACGGCACGAAAATCACCGGACGGCTCTCAGGTAAAGACGATCAGGAACTTCTCGCAGCCATTCAGGTGTATTGTTTGTTGTTTGACATTTGGGGCTGATTGCATACTGCGATGTAAGAATCCGCTTAATTGGCCCACGGAAAGCGGATGGCGTAAACGGAGTGATGTATCCGCGCGCAAGGTGCTGAACTGTTTTGGGCAATCACATCCCATGTCCAGAGCCCAAGATTATCGTTCAGTGACGCAGAGGGCACGTGTCACATTCATCCGAATGATCCTAGTTCCACAAGACGAAGGAAAGGTTGTCATCATAGTCCGATGATCATCCCTACTTGCTTCCAGAGCGCATGTCGATATTAATCCTGACGACTGGCCTGGAGCTCATAGTTCTGTCTCGCAGTCGATCGGAGCACTCTCAGTGTAATATTATGTGCCTTTTTCTTGCACGATTCGAGTAAAGGTCAATTAATGCTGAAGAGGATGCCACGAATGGCATTTTGTGAGATTGCAATGTAAGAGGGACAAAGGAGCAGGTGCGCGCGGAGTCTACAATACTCTGATCTACTTCTGTAGCTCACGAGTCCGCTCTGGTCGGGTCTTCCACACAGAGAGAGCAAGGTTCCTACCTTAGTACAAACAATTTACATCAGTGAATATACCATTCATATCTCTTTGAAATTGTTTGTGGTGCTCAAATGCCATAGCAGGCCGAGGTCCACAGCACGCCGTTCACACCGTGAGATATGAATGGAGATATGCTATGCTATCTGTGTGCTGCTGAGAACGGTGTAGACTTAATAATTCAGAGCTTTGACAAAGCTGCAGCTTGATGCTCTTTTGAGGCCATTTGAGTCGTTATCCGTCTGCAGAACCATCTGGGAGAGGATACCATCCATCCTTAGGTACATCACAATGCACAGCGTATGCTCAATTGAATGAAACGATCTGCGGCAGGTGGTCCAACTTCATATGTTGTCTCAGCCACCTATTGCATTATATGGTTCCGTCTTTCCGTCAAATAATGGGGCGGTTCATAATCAGCTGTGACAAGCCTGCGCCTTCTCTTATCTGCATTAAGCATTGTGCGTGTTCTGACAGAAAGCAAGGCCCAACTACCTTTGTCTGTATTCACCATGCGGCGTGATATCTCCGAGAGCTAGGTGCTTCACCTTCGATATATGTGCTTTTGGGGGTATCAGCCATATTGCGCCGCTGAATTTCGTCTGTTGGATACACAGCTAAGAGATATCGCTTTGGGGGAAAGCGGTTATATTGAAGAATAGTATATATACAGGATCGGCCTCTTCACTCCCGCTTCTACAGCACTATCATTCACTCAGACATAGTCCACTTACTCATTGGGACGTTCTACGTATATCCTCATCGTATCCTCCCATTGCTCCCATGTCTACCCCCGAGACCAAATTCATAGAGGGCCAACCTTTGAAATGCGGTTGCGGGAAGGACAACGAAATTATCCCCCCTAAGACTACGTGAGTTGCTACGATCTCCGCATGTGTTGTTTACTGACCCCGTGTCAATAGTAGTGACAACCGTGATCTGTATGCGCTATTTTTCCTATCAAACTTCTTACATTAATTTCATTGAACTAGCCTTAGCCCCTTCACGAACCTGTCTGCCCTCATTATTGGGATTCATGAATATAGGCAGAACGATCAGAAATTAAGGTCTCTTCCCGGTGCATGTGCCGACGTGAAAGCCATGTACACCTTCCTCCGCGACATGAATGTCTCCACTAACCGCATCAAAGTCTTGCGTAACGAGTCCGCGACAGATTCCAAGATATGCAGCGCTTTACGGGATGTTGCTAACCTCGCGAAGAAGGATGAGCCCATTCTCATCTACTTCTCTGGGCATGGCAGAAGAGCTACGGAACCTACGTCGAGGGGTCGGGTCATTTGTGCATATCGCGCGGATAAGGACGCCAGTGTCAACATCACTGAGGAGCTGCACAAGATTGCTAGCTGCAAGGGAAAGGAAAAGACTAATATCGTCCGTGATCCTCTGTTTTTTGCGCTCGTAGTCTTGAATACTCATCGTTGCCTCGTTTTATTATTCGACAGACACTCATACTGGATTGTTGCTACGCTGGTTCTGGAGGTGATGGCTCGGTAAATTTATTTCAATTATACGATGTTACAGACCCGCATCGAATATTTCTAACTATAACATTGAGCAGTCTTCAGACGACATGCCTTCCTCTCATATCCTACTCGCTGGCTCTGGTAGAAATGAGACCGCCATGGAACGAAGTGAGGGTGGCGCGTTCACGAACGCGCTGCTGAATGCTCTCCGGGCACGAGATTCACGTCAGCACTCGTATAAATCACTCATCGAGAGTCTTCCTACTATTGCCGCGTGAGTATTTTTTACATTCAGCCAAATGACCCAAAGACTGACGAACTGATATGCATACTTTGTAATCTTCGGAACAGACAAAGCCCTCAGTGTATTGGCGTTCACCAGGAAAGACTACTATTCACATGCACCTTGCGTCGTCTTGACAAGGAGTTCTACCAAGTGTCTAGGCAGCCTATGTCGGTCAATCCATCTGAATTACATTGACATGGAGTTTGCTGATCAACTTTTTTTCATCAATGTACACAGGGAATCTTCCTCAGATTATACCTATCGCTTTCCTGGCGGTAAAGCGTACGGACTTACCAAGGGGTGCTCATTTGATATCTATATTGGTCCAAGCGTGGGATCTGAAAAGGTCGGAACATTCAAAGCAAAGTCAATCACAAACTTCGCTTGCGATCTCGTGACAGAAAACCCCGTTGCCAACAAGCCTCCACGCATAGCATACGGGCTATGTACCCACATCGATCGCCTTTTCGAAATCTCTATCCCCAAAGAGCATCGAGACACTGTCAAAGAACCTCTACTTGGAAAGCACAAGAATATCCCCGTCGCTTTCAAGGCCGAAAACGACAAGGCGGCCTTTTCGATCACATCAATGAGTGGCCGACTCGACTTCGAGTATCACTACGGCATAAGAAAGACACGTCTGTGTCGATCACAGAACATACGCACGGTGATATCGGGTGCCGCCGACTTCGACTTTCATCTGACCCGCAGAAATAACAAAAACCCTCTATCGGAACAAGCTCTGCTACGCTGCTACGAGCTGAAGGAATCAACCAGCGGTTCTTGGGTTCCGAAAGAGAAGTCCCCCAATCTTATAAAGCCAGTGAACAAATTGGACCCGAAGGAGTATGTATTGGATCTGAACAAGTACAGGAACAAACCTCTAGGATTTGAAGTCGAGAACAAGAGCAATATGGCTCTATATGTGGCTCTCTTTTACTTTGACTTGGGTGATCTTAGCATCGGTGAGTCCAGATACTATCGTTTTGTTCAGATCTTTTCAGTATGCACTATCGCATTGAACGACTCACTACCTTGTGTTACATAACAGTTTCGTTCTACGAGCCGGGGTCAGCGAAGGATGGCCGCGTTGACTACTCCGTCGCGGCCGGAGATAAACTCAGTATTGGTTACGGACGCGGAGGCTCTAACGCGTTTGGATTCGAGGAACGAGGAGGTGATCAAGTCGACAGGGGGGTCTTGAAACTTTTCTTCTCGACGCAATGGGTCGACTTCTCGGTCATCAAGCAGAGTTCACCCTTTGATGGCTGCGAGCGATTCCCTTACATTTACAAACCCGTCAATTCGCCGTGGGGCTCGATCGAGGTGCAGGTCGAGCAAGGCAAAGGTACGCTGAATAACTCTTCACATCGTCTTACTTCGTAGTCATAATCGTGCTTCATTTGTAGCCCCTAACTGAGCGAAATACGAAAGAGCAGTACCCGGAAGTTGGAGGTGCACAATGGTCAGTCACATGGGGAAGACAATAAGAGGGAAGAAGTTACGGAATATTGTACGATTACGATGGATTGCGAGGTTCATACTCTTGGTTGTCACTGAAGGGGGAAGTGGGAGTACCGAAGCCGTCAAGGAATGTATTACTACGGAATTGTGGTTGAATTCAGTCTGAATTCTGTGTCTGAGAGTTCCTTACGATGGACCGTTCTAAAAGACAACGTACGATAGATGGATCTCAAGTGCAAAGTGTCTCACTAACGAGTAGACCCGAGATCAAATGACGTACAATGCCAGTTCGCAGAACAACAGACGACAGGCATGTGCAGTTCAGAGCTCATACTCACATCGCAAGTGAAGCCGGCAAAAGTTGCGAGTAGGGTGACGACTAGTAGTGAAGGTGTCGAGGTGATTTGAAACAGAAAAGAAAGCTCAGCACTGATCTGGGCGTAGACGAACCAGGAAGGAACGACAACGAGAGACTCCACTCATAGAGAAGTACGGGCTCGAGAGCGGAGACGAGTAGGGTTTAGGGAAGTGCTAGAGCTGCAAGCCCGACATTCCGTCGCATGTAGGGCAAGTGTTGCACAGATAAATAACGACCGAGCTTAGACGAATGGTAGCAGAGGCCCAAAAGCAAGCGTGTCTTTGACGAGTAACTCCGACGTCGAAAGACGCATAGCAACAACCCACAGAAAAACAAAGAACAAGCAGCTCCAGGCCCGTAGCGAGCGCACCGGAAGTGTGGTGGACAGAAGTTGCGAGTGGGAAACACAGCGCGAGAACGAGGGTAGTGAAGGCTGATTCGAAGACGGAGGGACCACATATAGGAGCCCGGACAATGCAGGAGGGAACGGCAACGACGACGAGACCACTCGCGAAAGGGACGTTCGGGAACGGAGACGAGTAGGAGTTACGGAAGAGTCGGAAGAACTAGAGCTGAGAAACTGACATACGATCGAAAGCAGCGCGCGTGTTGCATAGATGGAGGATGAGTCCTAGTGCAAAGATCAGGGATAGCCGCCGTTAGTACTTCAGACGCGTGGTATTAAAGGAGCAATAAGGGTTCTAAAACAGAGAAAGCAATCATCTGGGGATAGGTTATTCAGGCCGGTACAACGATGACAGGGGGGGGGGCAACTCACGGAGGACAGGCAGGAGGAAGCACGAGTCACAGAAGAGCTGGAGTCGGAACCCGTTTGATATCCGATTTCATACAGCACGAGTGAACTAAGTCCTAGCGAGCATACAAAGAGTAGAGCTATGATCATGGGACATACAGTTCGCAGAAGAATGAAGGGAAAGTGGTTTTGAACTCAGATGCGAGCACATGGGAAAGAAAGTCGCCAAGAGTTGCGAGTATTGGGAGAGAATACCTAGTGCGAGGACCAGCGACATTACTTTCGAGGCGTGGTGAAAAGGATAAAGTGGTGGTTCTGGGGGCGTGGTGGCTCGAAAATGGAGAGATCATTCGCTAGGTATGGACGATTCAGGGGGGAACAGAGACGACGCCGCCAAGACCAATCACGAAGGAGACGTACGATGGCGGAGACGGGTACGAGTTGCGTATCATCGCATCAGCCCATTACTCACCAATCGCATACATCACGCATGGACCATGGACGAAGATGAATGGGGGCAGAAGAGCTTCCAGAGGCCAGCGAGTGCATGACGAGGAGCCGAAGTCAAAAAACTACGGTGTGCAGAAACGAGGAGTCTCAGTACGCACCCAGCCGTGAGTATATCGGGAGCCAAGTCGCCACAGAAGCTAAGAGTACAGGTGAGAGCATCTTCGAGGTGCGATGGGCGATGCTCGTACAAAGTTGGTGCAAAGGGTCGAGTGACGATCTAGAGTTGTGATTACTGGAAAATATAAAGAGTACTGATATGGGCATAAATTGCGAAGGAAACGTATGATTCAGTTAGCAGAGATGAGTACGAACGGAAGGAAGGAAGGAAGGAATGTAGCATATGGCACGCGTCAACCATAGATGGAGGACGAGAGGAGGACGGGGAGAGCGTGCAGAAGCCAGCGCGTGGATGACGAAGAGCCGGGGTGAAGCATAGTGCGTAGAGAAACGACAACCAGCAGTCCCGGTACGAGTATGTTGGGGCCAAGCTGCGAGAAGCTGAGACTACGAGTGCTAGTTATGTCCTCTCTTAGTCTCTATGGCGAGTGCGATGGCTGGTGGTCGTAGGGAGGTTCGAGCGACGGTCGTGGTCGTTGAAGAAAAAGCGCCCAGTCAGCCCACGCCCGTCCCGGATCGGATCGGCCCGGCCACCTCGACCCAAAGCGCTCATCGCGTCGCCACATCGCCACCTCCCAAAACCTTCTCATTCTCGCTAGTCGTGTGTTCGCTCGTTCGTTCAAGGCTGATCACTTGGTTCGTATGAAGTCAATTGAAGAGGGTCATTCTGGTGAAGAGGCTGGGGACGAGAACGTACATAGGTGGTGAGGTGTGAAGAGGGTCGGATTTAAAGAGGTTTATCGTCAGAAATATACAAGGAAAAGGAGCGTAGGAGTAAGCGTACCATGGCACCTTTCCGACATGAACCCCTAGATTGAGACAAGGATTTACGGATGCAAGCCGAGGCACGTATGTAGAAGGACGAAACGCATTAGTGCGCCATGTATCCGTTTCAAACACTCGGAGAGATGCAGATTTATGCTCAGAGGCCATTCAAGATGGAACAGTAAAGACAATGTCAGGCACGAGACGTCGAAGCTACAGCCGAAGTTGAAAAGCTCACAATTGCGAACCCTATCATCGTGTCCAGGACCCAGTCCATCAGCCTTCGCCCGTGGTCCGAACATAAGGGTATCCGGGAGCCCCCACAGACAAATGTGCGACTGAGGATCCGGCGCGAGGAGAAGATACCTACAGTTGTAGTCCGTAGAACAACAGAGAACGAGGAGTTTCATCCCATATACATTCAGTTGAGTGAAGTTGCCAACAGTTGAGAGGATTCAGAGCCAAAATCAGAGACATCCAGGTACGAAAGGCAAATGGCACGATCACGAGCTCTATCCTTCGATCGTATACATCGCCCGGAGTCCAAAGATGAGTGAAGAACAGGCGCAGACGAAGGGTAACAAGGGGGCACCGGCAAGCGTGTGGACGTATACATTCGAGATCAAAAGACGTACAGACCCAGTGCGCAGAGATCCAGAGGAAAAGCAGCTGCGAGCCCATACATTCATCGGAAGTGAAATCGCCAGGAGCTGCGGGTACCGAGCAGGAATACCCGGTGCGAGAACCAGCGGTATTACTTCCGAGGTGTGGTGACGAGGGAAGAGTGATGATTGAAGCGTAGTAGCTCGAGAATGGAGGGATCATTCGCTGGGGATGAATGATTCATGAGGGAACAAAGACGACGACAAAGAGACCTCTCGCGATGGACACGTACAAGGGCGGGGGCGAGTACGAGTAGCGCATCGTCGCATCTGCCCATTGGTCTCTAATCGCATCCATTGCGGGGGGACCATGTATGGACAATGAGGTTGAGTAGAAGAGAGTCGGCATAGGCCAGTGTGTGGATGACGAGGAGTTGGGGTCAAAGTGTGCGGTGCGTAGAGAAACGCCGACCAGCAGTCTCGGTACGCAGCCGGCTGCGAGAATATCAGGAGTTAAGCGCGGAGTGAAGCTGAGGGTAGGCATACAAATTTGGATGCTAGCGTATTGGAAATGCGGGTAGAGTGGCAGTGACAGCCGCACGAGGAGTAGTAGTGAAGGAGACGTAGTGATTCGAGAGCGGGAGGACTCAGCTCATGCCACAGGCCTCAGGATAGAAGAGAACGCTGACGAGGAGACTCCAGGCCCGAAGGAGAGATGCGAGGAAGGAGATAGGTACAACGACAAGTTGCCTATGATCTCTTCGATCTCCAGTCCCATACAGCACGCGTGAACTATAGATGGAGGACGAGCAGAGGGTGGGGAGGCCAGGGTGTGGATGACGAGGAGCTGAGCGTAGACGGCGTAGAGAAAGGACGAGAAACGGCTCAGCAGCTCGGAGCCCGGCTGCGAGCATACTACTGAGCTCGCGGAGGGTGCTGGTTGTGTCCTATCGAGCGCGAGCATCTTCAGGGTGCGATATGTGGTGGTAATAGAGAGTGTCGAGCGCTGTTGAGCGAGAAAAGCCAAGAAAGCGCCCACTCGGGCCACGCCGGGACCAGATTGGAGCGCCGGACCCCTCCGCCACTCAATATCGCCCACCACCGCCACGCCACATCGCCTCGTCCTTGCCTCCGACCATCTTTCTTCGTTTGTTCTTCTCCTTCTCTCGCTTCTGCTCTCCTCCCCCAAATCAGCCAACACGACCACCAGGCACGCCAAAACAATGCGCACACTAAACGCGCGAAGTCAGTGTGCACGGTGCCCGACCCTGTTTCGACTGGCACTCGAGGCATAGGTCGAACGCTTTGCGCATCGCCTTCTCGTTCGCCTCGGAAGCGCTATATATCTCGCTACCAACCCTCTCATGCATCGGACAACTCCCATACGCATCACACCTTCCCAAACGCCCACCCACAACCACGAACAATGGGACTCTTCGGTCACTCCACCTCCCAATCCGTCCTCCTCGAGCCCTTCCACCCGCCCATCGGCCTCAACGCCGCCTTCTGCATGCCCCACGTCGAGACACTCATCATGAGGGAAGATGTGGAGTTTTAGTGGCGACGATTTTGGTATTCAGAATTTGGCGGGGCAGGATGTGGTGCGGTATCATGGGCAGTTCGCAGGATCGCAAGGGTGCGTCTTCTCTTTTGTCTTGGTTGATTATTTGTCGGGTTGACCGTCCCACAGAGTTCAGAGACGCGCGCCAAATGTCACTCTTCATCGTCCGTAACAGTCCTCGTGTTCCACAAAACACAGCTTATCTAGGCCATGGATGAGAATGATCTCCGTACGGTCAAGAAGAAGTTCTCCGGTGTGTTACCCCTCTCATTGTTACTTGTGTTGTTCTCTTAATTCGTCATCTCTTTTTCCGCCGTTCTCATCGCTAATTCTTTTCCTCCCATATGCACGCAATAAAGTCAGCTCCTCACGCATGACTGTGTCTTGCCACACGACCCCAAAAACACTGCCTCCTCCTCGCACGACCTCATTGAACTCGAATGTAAAGGGAATTGGTTCGATCGGTACGTCCTTTCTTTCTTCATTTGTCACTACTTATTGTGCATTTTTGATTTTGGTGTGATGCACGGCATTTTGCGTATACGAGTAACTTTTGCATCTCCTTCCTCAGTTTACCGAGAGATGTGCTTTATTCCCCCTTTCCGGTCACTCAACCGCCGGTTACTTCTTGTTCATCTAGATCATATACTGATTCAAGCGGTGACCATTGCATACTTACGTTCTATCTTGTTTACTCTCATTTTTAAAACCTCGCATTGGTTTAAATGTTTTAGGATTTAAAATTCGATTATTGCCTCCAATACCGTGGATGAAACCCCGCGGCCACACCGGTGCGGAATCCTACATCCAACCCGCGAATCAGGAGCGCTATAATATAAGATAAAAGATCGCCACGCGACCTTGCGTGAGAAATGTTCTCCAAGTGCCCGCAATTGCTCTCGTCTTTGTTCTCATCCACAGCGATGAGCTAGTTACGATGGTTCTGTGAAAAAATATGTCTTATAATTCTCCTGGCCAGATACTTGCGCTTATCTGCATATACTACTCAAAAGGCTGAGGACAAACTCGCAGTCAACCCCTTGTCGTCTGACTCTTAGACTCGCCTTTTCTGTCTCGTCTTTGCCCTCAGTTCTAAGTGTGAAGAAAGTACTTCATACGACGGGATCGTGCACTCTACCGAATGTCCGCTCATAATTCCAACTCTTCGAATCATCTACCCATTCCATCCACTCGTCCCACATCTCTTTCGACGATCTGCACAATTTATTACTCTCGAGGATGCTCAGAGGCGATGAGTTGAAGCAATGTATGGGGGAATTGTAATAGAGTGGCCGGGGATTCATAGTAAGGGAGGTTTCGATGGATTACACGGGAATGGCTGGAACGGAGGGTGAGCCGATGATAGTGAGAGGCGTTCCGTTGGTGGCGGATCTTCAGTTTTGGATCGAATGGAAAAAGTGGTTTGAACAGCATAGACACCACCCGGTACGTTCATATATTTATCCTTTCCGTCTGTCGATCCATGTTCGCCATTGGCACAATTCTTACTCGATGCCTGTCGCAAAGACCAATTCGCTTGCTGCCTCCAACTGCAACTCGAATGTGCTTTACCCTAACCGATACTGGCCACAGATCTGCTCTCCTCCCTCGCATCGCGTAACCCATCCCCTCACACAGTCTCCTATTCCGCCGTCTTCCCACCTCTCATACCTATTCGCCCATCCCAACGGATGATACCTCGCTGCTCTTACACTGTCTTTGGCGTCATGAGTCCAAAACTTGCATTTAGAAATACATGGAACTGCTGCTGAATTTGAAGTAAATTGACTTCTTTATTCATTTCAGGTACCAACCGACTTCGTCATTGTCATTACATTTCATTTCCTGGTTCCGCAGGGAGATGAGGCCACCATCAGGATCTCGACAAGCTGCCGCGTTTTGTCAGCTGGCCTGATTATAGATCCCGCGCAGTGTGAACTAGGAAAGTAAGGCGAGACTGTTGCATATTACACTCGACCCATAACTCCATAATCATAGATGAGACGGGTGTTACACTTGATAACATCCCGTGGCCTGAGAATATCCTCAGTGCTTAGGATGTTCGGCGTGTCTTAACTTATAATGGTTAAGGTATCTTTCACTGTGGCTTCTCCCATTGTTCCTTTCAGTGCTCGAGGATCATTCAAATCGTTTGCGATCTTGCCGCTGTGTGCCCAGATCGCAGTTGATGGATTGTAGCAGTCAATTGGTCCTCGATGGTCCCATAAATTCACGTATTACACGCATCATTCAAATTTGGTTCTGTACACTTCCCCAAGATTCCTCATACACGTCTTCCCTCAAGACATACCCACCATGCCATTTGTGATAGTCGACGATACCGATGCTGGTCTTTCAGTCAATCCGACTGGAGTACCAGGTGCATATACACAAGTCACTGACATAGCATTCACTACTAGTTTCGCCAAAACAGTCTCAGGAACGGCAGTATCGGTCACCACCATTGAATACAGCTTCAACGGTATAAATGCTCCTTGACTCCTCCAATAAATATTTATCACATATGTTCTTTATAGGAACATCAATATCTGTATTTGGAAGCATTCTTAATATCAAATATGGCTCATCGGGCTCCGATACTACCCTCGGATTCTCGCTCGATGGTGCAGGACAGCAATTGATCGACATTTCTGCAGACCAAGAAAATGATCAGCATCGCGGTGTCTATAATTCTACATCTCTCTCCATCGATAACCACCTTCTTAATACCTCTGTTTCCTTCCCCGGAAATGATTCCGTCTTCTACCTCGACTATCTCATATACGACGCATCTGAGAATTCGTCTATCACCAATCCCACGACATCCACAATATTCATCGATGATACAAGTCCGTACCTTCTGTATTCGCAGGCTGGATGGGCACTCGGGCACGGACCTTCCTTTGGTAGTGTCACCTCCGAAGAAGCTGTGACGTTGAATGCGAGTATCGCTCAGGCAACCACATTGGGAGCTAACGTATCGCTGACGTTCTTTGGTATGTACCTCATATGCGTGGAACTTCAGTTGCCGCTCTAACATTCATATGGTTTGCCGTAGGGTCAGCGTTGGAAATCTATGGAGTTGTCTTGAACAGTGGGCCTGCCGTCGCTGCGTACGCAATCGACGGTGGTGTCTCTCAGAACGTCTCCATGCCTCTGGACAATGCAACGTACCCCGTATACAATTGGAACTTCATTCCCTCCAAAATCAATCTCGAAGAAGGCATACATAACATCACCATCACTTCGCTCCTACAGAGTTCAACTACTCTATACCTCGACTATATCCTAATCACCGCATCGAAGGCATATATACCGCCACCAGTATTAATATCACCAGGATCCGGCGTCACGTCGTCGTATTCTACACCGACATCCTCATCTCCGGCTCTTGACAACGGGAGGCATAGCTCGCATATTGGCGCGATAGCTGGAGGGTCGGTCGGTGGTGTACTTCTCCTCGGTGTATTGATAGCAGTGGTCCTGTTTCTCCGTCGTGATAACAAGATGTGAGTATCTCGTCTCGAATCAGTGTGCTAAAAACCCTTCAAATTGTATGGGGTTTTTGTTGACCTCTGCTCACAATAACATGTCCAGTTCTGGACACATTGCGTCGCAAACGGATATAGATCTTGATGATTGTATGTCCCATTGTCATGCTTACAGCCTCGTTTCACTGGCATATTCACCCAAAATGACTGACCATACCTCCGTAGTACATCCTTCAATGATGGAAGGAATCACCGCATTTCCTCTCGTGAACAGATCATCGCAGGCCACTCAACCAAGGCGGACCCTGAAGGATTTACATCCTGTCAACATCGAGGAAATGCAAGAGCTGGATACATCTGAGCCCGCAACGCGTTCATCAAAACACGTGAGCAGAGGAAATGGTACCGGGGGAAGCGAGGGGGGCGACGCCAATGGTCACCATAGAAGAGAAATTGACAGTGGCATCCGTGCTTTACCAGACTCGGGTGTGACTGAGTCAGCCCTACCGCCAATTTACACGGATGATTAGTCGATTTCTCGCTTGATTGGCACGGGAGATTGGTCAATTTGTTCGTAATTCGGCGGGTAATGATGCTTTATCTGATGAAATGGACGAGTGGTACCTGAGGGGTCGGCTTAGATACCTGTATTTATTTTTCACATGGTGATTATTTATGCATAATCACTCAGATTCTTTGAAATCTCCTTACTCACGTCGCTAGCATTGAGAACTGAAATGAGATCCATGTAATTCTTTGCAAAGTGTTTTATGCCATCTCCTTGATCATTAGTGATTTCTTTCCTTGAGTGTTGAACATAGGGGAAACGAACAAGTACTAAACATCAACGTTGAGTAATCGAAGTAATGCAAGCATTGCGGACGGGAGAAGCATCGACGAGAGGAACGGGAGAAGCATTGACGAGAGGAGATAACACGCACACCGCCTCGGCTGCAAACGAATCATAAAATGTGCATTTTCTCGAAATAGAGCAGACCTATTCGGGAAACCGCAGCGCAGCAAGGCCAAACTGGATACGAGGGTCAAACTTGACCGGGGCGGGATGTGGGATTGATGTGAGCTACGTCGCCGTGTTCAGTGTTCAGTTGTGTTTTTGGCGCGACGGCCTTGATCGTCTGCGACGCTGATGATACTGTATTCCTGTATTCATGCTCAATTCGCCGCGTGCTGTAAAACTACATGTAGTACCCCATCATACATGTCCGATTTTGCGAGTGCGGTTCCTCCCAAATCAGTCAAGAACGTAAATACAACCGGATGGAGGTCTCATACGCCATAGTCCTAAACGTCAAATTGACGAGCAAGACGATTGGGTGACAGCAACTGATGCCGTCAGTGCTGTATAGAATCCAGTTATGACTGCATCCGCGGTCATTGTTTCCGGAGCCGCCATATGCCTACAATCAAACGCAAAGTGCACGGGTCGAACGGTCAGAAGATTCCAAAAAGAAATCAAGATAAATATAATGCAAGCGGGAGAAGCATCTTTATCCCACCGTGTAGCATAGTGCTGCCTTACTGAGATGCTTATATCAGAGATACTAACCGCGGCATAAGTAATGAAAGAAAGCGTTGGTGAATGCAGGACTTCTGATATTCCGAGATCAGCGGGAAAGATACAGAGTCAGTGCTTTCAAGCAGCGCTTCCAATTTCAGCCCGCGAATCTGCGACAACGTCGTCAATTCACAGTTCGTTTCCTCCGATCCTTCCGAGCCGCAGCTTGCTGTCGTAATCTACGATGATGATCACGGAAAGCCGCGGTGGGAAGCATCACGATGAATAAGAACAGTGACGGACGTGAGCCAGAAAGACGATGAAACAAACGGTGGTATATATGTACTAGCATATCGGGTGTGAGTGGGGAGGAATGAGAAGCCGACAATACGTGGGAACGCGCTATTTGGATGGACGATCACAGGCGACGGTCTTGACACTGAGCGTATCATTACGAATGTAGGCGCGCTCGTAGCACAACAGCGTCAGAGGAAGTGCATGATATCGTCGAAGGGTCGATGTACGATGCATTTGGAGACACATTGCATTTATTCGCCTCTATACAGAATTGACTGGCTAAATGTGAAGAAGTCCATCAATTCTCTGACTCGTTATTATAATCCTCATGAAAATATAGGAAGAACACAACACTGGGTGCGGAGTTTAATCCCGGTGAAATCGTCACAACGTATTGTCGTGCCAAAGTCGGAACATGAACATGAACGTGCAGTCTCGCAGCACTGAGGCGGAGCAAAAATGGTGGCCTCAACATGGGCGTGGGGTCCGCAATAGAGGGCGATCTAATGTAGCGAAAAAGAGCCATACGCATGAAGACGCAGAGAGAACGAGAAGCCAAATGCAGAAGTGCAGTGGAAAAGTTGTAAAGCCTTGTGCGATAAATTTTGGACGATGTCACACCACTCTTGATCTAAAATAAATTAAGCATCGTCCCTGTGGTCGTGAACACGCACGATGATGTCTCGCTGTATTGTGCGACAGAGGAGGACTTTGAGCTATGCCGTGCTGGTCCACACTATTCAAGCTCAGAGTGAAAGGAGTGAACAGGCAAAATCGGATCACCTGATTACCTCGTTTCTGCATGCGTCAAAGCTATCCATACGCTATCTTTGTTTGCACGAAACCCAATGGTCTATCCTGTTCTGGCACGAAGCGCATATCTAAGCAAAGACGACATTCAGAAAACGACGGCGAGAACAGTCACGAATTCGAAGCATTAGAGCTATAGCTCAAGTGGAAAAACCCACGATTATGATCCTTGTCGTCGTGTCAAGCACAGCCTGGCCTTTGATCGCATACACCGCCCGTGGTGCAAAGATGGCGAAGGAATGAGATCAGACGAAGGATAGAAGAGGCCCCAAATGCAAGCGTGTAGATGACGAGTACGTCTGAGATCAAAAGGCGTACAGGTGCAGTTCGCAGAAGAAAGGAGTGCCGGAGCCATATACATCCAGATCCGAGCGCATTGGAAGTGAGAGTAGAAGTGTCTTACGCAGTGCGAGGGTTAGTAACAGTGTTTGAGGCATGGTAGTGAAGTAGTTTTGGAGGGAGTGATCATCTGGAGATAGACAAACAAGGAGGAAGTTGCGTATCGTCGCATCAGCCCATTAGCATCGAATCACATACGTCACGCGTGGGCCGTAGGTGGAGGATGAGTGTAGGTAGGAGAGAGCTTCCAGAGGTCAGGGCGAGGAGCCGTCAAAAGCGTACAGTGCGTAGAGAAACGACGAGCAGTCCCGGTACGAGCGTAGTGGGACCAAGTTACAAGGGGTTGAGTGTAAGGATGCTGGTTGTGTCCTGCCCAGGGTTAGCATCTGCAGGGCACGATAGGTGGTGGTCAGAGAGAGAGTCGAATGACCTTCGTCGTCGTGGACGAGAAAAAAAAGCGCTCTCGGGCCATGCCGGCACCGGCTCGGAACACCGGACCTCCCGCCACTCAATATCCCCCACCACTGCCACGCCACATCGCCTCCTCCCAACCTCCGACCACCTTTCTTCGCCTTCCCTTCGCTCGCTTCTGCTCTCCTCCCCCAAATCATTGAACACGATCACCAGGCACGCCAAAACAATGCGCACACTAAACGCTCGATGTGAGTGTCCACGTCGCTCGACCCTGTTTCGACTGGCACTCGAGGCGTAGGTCGAACGCTTTGCGCATCGCCCCATCCCCCTACCTATATGTAAACCTCGCCATCTTCCCTCACATACGCATCGCATCTCCCTGCAACCGCACACGAAACCACGATGGGACTGTTCGGCCATTCCACCTCCCAATCCGTCCTCCTCGAGCCCTTCCACCCGCCCATCGGCCTCAATGCCGCCTTTTGCATGCCCCACGTCGAGACGCTCGTCATGAAGGAGAAGATGTGGAGTTTCAGTGGCGACGATTTCAGTATTCAGAATTCGGCGGGGCAGGATGTGGTGCGGTGTCATGGACAGGCGTTTAGTTGGCGGGATCGCAAGGGTGCGTTTTTCTACGGTCGTGGAACGTTGGGCCCGTTTGTTGACTGTGATTCCACAGAATTTAAAGACGCGCGACAAATGCCACTGTTCACCGTCCGTAATAAAGTACTCGCGTTCCACAAGACGCAGTTGATCGAGGCTATGGACGGCACTGATCTTTGTACGGTCAAGAAGAAATTCTCTAGTGCGTTGCTCCTCCCATCTCTTCATTCATCGTTTCCATGCCCCTTCTCTTCATCATCCTTTGCACCCCCACCGACAATGGACTGACTGACTTACTATTACCGCCAACGAAACAGTCGGCTCCTCACGCATGATCGCCTCCTTCCACAACCTCGCCTCCGCGAACGCTTCCTCCTCCTCTCACGACCTCATCGAACTGGAGTGTAAAGGCGATTGGTTCGATCGGTGCGTTCCCTTTTTCCATTCTCGTCTTTCTTTTGCCATCCTATCCAAAGTTTCAACCTGGAACACATCTCGTTTTACCTCTTTCTCTACGCGGTGTTCTTTCTACGCCACATCATCTTCCCATCTCATCCACGTCCACGTGACGTCCACCGCTAACATTCCTCTCCCCCTCCCCTCCCTCCTCCCTCATCCGTAGATCCGCAATAATAACCCTTCTCGGCACCGAACGCGTCGTCGGCCAGATATCGCGCAAGATCTTGAATATGAGAGAGGTCATTGGTGGGCAGCAGACTGTGCGTTACTTTGTTTATTTTTCGCATTATTTTTCGATGGGATCTTTGGTTTCGTTCTTCGTTTTTGGTGTCTGCGCGCGTGTGTGCTGTTGGCCCACATTGTCACGAAACCCGCTTCGACGGAGAGTGGACTTCGGACTTTCCTTTGTTCTCGACGTATGGTATACCACCGTGTGGAGAGAGATACACGCATACATCCACTGTCTCCACCATCAGCGTACACTTTCACTATGGATCTCGTCTATAGGTCTTCCCCGGACCCCCGACCATGACTATGGTCTTGATCACGTTCACAGTCCTACATTCGCCCATTGTGTGGCTCACGTTTGAGCGTCTATTATTGTGGCGTAGTCTGGTCTGTCCTCACGAAACCTCGACGCTGACATTTTCCTTTTCCTTTTCGTCCTGTGCTCTTTGCGCTTCTCTCAATATTCTATCCACATGCACCTTTGCTCCGCATCCGCATCCGCATCCGTATCCACTTCCCCCCGGCTTGACTACTCCATTCAACATCGACTCCGAACCTGCCCCACCTCACGCCCACCATATACTCGAACACGTCGGCATCACCCTACGCTCTAACACTCTAACACCTCGACATGCAACATAATACAATGACACAACACGACGCGACACGACACGACCGATAGTACGCAGTAACAATCGCACCAGGCGTCGACGTCGCGCTCATGGCGGCGCTTTGTGTATGTTTCGACGAGGCATTTAATGAGTCGCAGAATTAGGGGCTCGGGTCGGAATTTTTATTGGTGGGTGGGTTGGGGTGGGATTGGTGGGAGGTCGGCGATACCTGAGCTGGTTGATCTTTCTTTTGGATGCGGGGAGGGAGAGTGGATCAGGAAGAGGAGCCGGAGGATGCGTGTTTCTCTCCCCATATCCTGTTCCAGTCTTTATCTTATTGATACCCCGCCATTTTTGCGCTGATGTTGTTGTGTGTGTTGTTGTCGTTGTCGTTGTCGTGTTTTGATTTGATTGAGGAAATCTTAGGAGATTTGTTCGATTCCTATTCTGTCGAGTTTGAGTCTGGTGATGAGTATGGTACTAGGAGGGGGTTATCAGTTGTCGGCCTGTGCTTCGTTGGTTTCCTTGCAAACCGTCTTCCACAGCATACTGTATTCTTGGTTTTGTTGTGTGCACTCACGATGACAGGTGTCATATCACCATCCGAGCATTTCGATCCAACTAACGTCCTGTCTTGTACCCACAGAGTCCAGAGATTATACGTCGTACTTCGTTCTGACCCTTCTCCTACGACCAGCTAGATGAGTTGTAGATCGTCGCACTACGAAGTCAGACGAGACCGACCTCTACGATGACTGGGATATGTGGTACATTCGTCCATTTTTTCCTCTGGTACATTATGATTTCCTTGCGCTATACCCTCCGTCCCACTCCGTGCTTCCTTACCATCCAATATCTAATCATCGACGTCATCGGCATGTCCATCTTCCTCCCCCGCTTCTCTCTTTTCCTGTCTACGATCTTCTTCTTCATCTTTTCCTCTCACCTGTATTTCTCCATTTCCTGACAAACAAGTCCCTCCAAGCCAAACTTACATGTCTGTTTTTTTTTCAGCGCGGAATGGTCGTCTGATAGTGTTTTCGCATACCGTCGCATCAGTGATCCTTCCTCCTCGACTAGATTGGAATGTGAAAATGAGGGTTCGATCGGTGCGTTCTATATCGTTAATTTCGTATCGTTTTCGCCGCCATAATTTGTATCGTCACAAATCTTCACCTCCTTCACCTTCGTCCTCCCCACACTCCCCGTCTCTTTCTCTTTCTCGATCTCATCGCACGGAACCAGTACTGATAGGTACCTCGATATCCACAGCTTCCCCATTGAACTCGGAGGCCATAACCATAGGCTCCCCCGGAATAGACCGAGTCGTTGACCAAATCTCACGAAAAATCACACAAAAAATCCTGCATATGATAGAAGTGCCGGCCCGGGGCTAGTGACAAGTATGGAAAAGTCGACCGGTGATTTATTGAAGGTAGCAGGAAGGGAAGAAGGAATGGTGCGCTGCTATGCTACGAAGGTATGTTGGGTTTTTCGTAACACGTATTTTACGGCTTAGTGTACTCTATCCTTTAACTATTCGCGTTTCTTCGCGGCGACATGTATTCGACCCTATTGGCGCGCTCGAGCGATAACGTCGGACTGAGTCGATTCCTTCCTCCTGGGTACCGCGTATGCTAAGGAGAGACATGATTTGTAGTCGTTATACAGGAAATGATTTGCACTCTACCAGAACGAGATGCATGTGACGGACGTTATGGGCTCGGACAAGCTCAACCTCTGCGCTTCGACCAATATTTCTAGTGCACTCCTCTCTTTATCCTATTGCCCCGTATTGCGTTTGCGCTATACAAACTATCCGCATACGTACGTCCCTCCCTACCTTCACTATTCAACCTCGTCGTGCCGGCCTTTCTCTTTGTCTTTATAGAAAAAAGCACAAAAACTGACTTATTTTGCTCGACACAGAACGGCCGTCTGATCGTGTCATTCTACTGCCGTCCCATGAACGCTCCGTCCTGGTCCTGGTCGTATCAGACTATCAAGTTGGATGGAGACACGACTGGTTCGCTTGCTGCGTACCAGATCTGTAATCGCACTTCATCTTTGCTGCGATATCTCGCATCTCCGTAGACATCCACCTCTTTCGCCCCCGTTCTCCCCGCCCCCTCCGTTGCTGCTCCCAGCACATTGCACTGCACGAATGTTATTGATCTTCCCTCTTCATATTCACGTGGATTCGTTATTCAATAGGATGCTCGACGGTGGGCTGCCTACGCTGCATATCGATTACTTCTTTGATCTGTTAAAGTTTTCAGGAATGGAGAGTATCCCATGGGGGTTTGTCGTCTGCATTTTGGATGGCTCAGAGATGGAAGATTATTGAAGTTGCTAGTGAGGCATCAGGCATACGACACTACGCGGTCCGAAAGTGAATTCAATTAAACTAGCCACGGTCACTGCGCGGCAAAGAATGTGGTGGCTGAGTACTGCATACACCACTTCGATGTGTACACTCTCCAAATCTTGCCCACAAACATCCCGTACTGACACTCTACTTTATCTACAATGACTGAGTGGGACCATTTGGATCGGTGCCAAGTCGCCATCACCGTAAACCTAGGATCCGAACGTTCAAATATTAGCTACCGTACCATACCGTAGCTGATATGAACAAGTCACGTACCACAGGTATCATGACGGTCTGACCAGTCTCCTCATAGCACCATTTCTGAGGATCGAAATTGTCCGTGAAGCAGAGTCTGTCGCGACTTTCGTGATGGGCAGGAGGTACTGAAGGAATTGAACCACCGAAATAGTCACCGACCCCGATGTTCTGTGAAATAAAGGTAAGGGTTGATAGTGAAGATTGAAGAATAGTAGCTCATATTGATCGTACGGCTGGTGTCCATTTTATGCTTGTATCTCCCCTGTACATATCGCAGAAGAATTCGACGCTGTTATTCCATGAAGACGTTTATGTTAGAGCTTTCTAAATACTTACATAGATTCGACGGTTCCACTCCCCAATTTTGAATCAACAGGAGTTTCAAACGCGCTTGTAGGTTCGTCTTCTGTGAGCGAGGATTCGCACATGAAAATATTGCCACCGAGTATGACCGGAGACCAAATACACTTACCAACACTTGAGTCTCTGCCAAATGTGCGCAATTCTTTTACTGCTTGGCAGAATAGTATTGTGTTCAACCTGAGATTGACATCAAATACTGGTGATTCATTACTTTGGCAAATGACCTACACCCTTGTCCAGGGAGTTATCATGGCTCTTCCATTGCCGATCCAGGAGTTTGTATTGACCTTCAACAACATGAAAGGCTACACCTGAAAGTCAAATCGGGCGAGAAATAGCTTACGTGGTGGGCAATCTACGATGATGGCAGTTATAAGTGACTATGCTGATGGTATCTGACCAACAGTGATCGTACCACGACAGTGATTAAATCCAGCACGGTGAGGCAAACCAATGCACTATATGAACGTTTAGTTGGACTAATGTATGTTTCAGTTGCAAATGTGCTTACAGGTAACCTTTGAGTGCTATTGAGCAAAAGATAGTCAGAGTGTTAACTCCACGTATTAAGTGTTCGCCCTACCGTCATACAGTAAAAACTCAGCAATGGACAGTGGTCCGAAATTTCGCATCTCTCGTACATGGCGCCAGGTGCGGAAGTATATGCAGAGAAACATGGTACTTTCTAGAGCCAGTGTGGTGATAATATCCATTAGACGCACTATAACGGTAAGCTTAGTTATATTATGTGTCATACGTAGGAACCAGCATACATCTGTTGATTTATCGCTAAATAGTGTTTCACTGGCAAACCCTGCGTCAAATTGACTTACTTGAAGTAAACTGTTGTTGTAAAGGGTACAGTATCATTGCAGCCAAGATACTGATAAACTGAAACTAGCTGGTGAGCATAACTATACTGTTGCACTCAGAAATACAAGTAAGAAACATCTCATCGGATCTGAACTATGCGAAACTCACCGATCCAACCCCTATGGTAGTGATAATTGACAAAATGAATATTGGTGGGGCAATCCATATGTGCCAATTCGTTATAGCATACAGGCGAAGGCACATGCCACCTTTGAAAAGATCATCTGAGAGTGGACTGCCGGAGAACATTTGGCCACTCACCACTGATACCAATAGTGCGAATGATGAGGGGCGCAATGAGAAATCGAGTGGCCACAATACAGCTAATGGTTAATATGCTGGTACGTAAGTATTAAACACCAAAACAGAGCAGGATATCGAACGAACCCCTTTATGCATGCTTTGTTAGTCACGTTGATTGCTTCTTCATAGTATGAAGACATGCCTTGGTGTTCACGTCATAAGTAGAAAGAAATACGGTCACAAAAGCTTCAATCAGACTTCCGTAACGCGCCATGTAGAATAGACATTTCGGAAGAGTGATGTGACCGGATAGAATAAATAGCTCTGTCTCCTCAAAGAAACACAAGATTGTGTCCCAGAGAAGTAGCGCTATAACCCCGGATCATCAAGAATTATTCAGGTTGGCAAGTGTGAGCGACTGAACGTACCAAACGATGCGACTATGCAGAGATTCGAGGCACTAGGAATGATGTTCAGAAGCAAATTCATTCAATAACGTATCAAGCTCTTACACCGTGGATGCATCTTGGTTTGTCAGAAACGACATCTTTGCAATATGAAAATGGGGATTCCGAAGTACAGTAGGGTGGGTATTTATACCATACTGCCTGTTCCAAAGAATGTTCTCTTCTGGCAGTGCACTGATGAAGACAACAACACGTGGTACACAGCCCATAGCTATTACTAGTGGATCGCACTGCAGTATATGAGCATGGTTGGAATATAAATATATACATCCCGCTTAATGGATCACCGTTGCAGCAAAAGAAACTGTGATAGAAGGCTTCCGCATGCTCTCATTTGAGGCATAGTAAGGATAGGGTACCAGAGCCAAGATATATGAATGGATCCTGGAAATCTGGAGCTGGCGCTCGTTGGTCTGTCCTATACATCGTGAGAGAGATTGCTGCCACGCCCCTGTGAAGTGTTCGACCATAAATGTCGCGGACATACGATGACGCTTCTGAAAATCTCACGATATCGATGCGCCATTTATCAAGTGCAAATCAACGTCTATCAACGTGCGCTGGAGAGAAGATGGTGTCCGCATGCGTATAGAATTGTCAGTAGAAATCATGGAAGAGGCTATGCGGGATGCTGAGGCGATGCAATTGAAAGTTTCGGGTATCAACAAGCTATGTAAGGCGCCAACCAAACACGTATAGCTCGCCGCATGCGAGGAAAAATCCAGTTATATCTACACCATACCATACAACGGAGTCATTCTCATTTCTTATTGTTACTGGGGCTGGGAGATACCATAAAGGCTTCGTAATGAAAGTTGTAAGTGGGAAAGGTGGGCGCTATGCTGCGATCGTGGGAGCGGGTACAATTTTAGCACATGACACAAATGGGGCTTTGAGTTGATGCATTGCAGTCGGCGCTTCGCCTTGACGCAATGAAAAACACGATCGAATGTAAGGCGGAATGCGTGTGAATCTGGCGATATACTGGGGAGATGAGACACATTCGACAATGACAGAAAGATGTGGGGGAGTACGGTAGGCGGGACGACCGCAGTTCGATTTGAGTTGACGCGTCGAGCTTTCGCGGTGGCGCCACCCTAACCCTGCATCCGGCTTGGTCCGGGCTCACTTCACTGGGCTGTTACAGCGTATCTCTGACAGGTAGCGGCTTCATGAGCTCCATGACAGATCGGGCTGTAGATACTGAGTGTAATTTAAATAAAAAGGGAGCCCCTGGAGCATCTTAAGCATTTAATATGATTTTCTGGAAGTGGCAGGCAACGTGGGAAGCTCAGCCGGGCAAGGCCAAGGGTGGCTTGCCCAGCCACAGTTGGTGCATCTTGAGCTACAAATTGTTGACAGCCTCGATGGGCAGCATCACACATGCCATGTAAGTATTAGTAATTCCATCAGCTGCTCAGCTTGATTTTGAGCAAGATAGCACAGTATTTCTCTCTGTGTACTGTACTTTTTCAACCAAAGGTCCATCATGATCAAAAATGTACGTCACCCATCAGTTTCGCCTGGGTCACGGTTCAGAAACTGTAGGAAACCGTGTGTGAGCGAGATGGGACCCATAAATGGTTCAGTCAAATGGATGTGTCACGTACGGAGAGAACAGCCAACCCATTATGACCACTGTGATCGTGAGCGGAAGCGGTGCCACTGGCTTGAAAAGCTCGAGTCTTCAATACCAAAGCAGAACCGGTAATGAAGGAACGGAAGTAAAATCAGTGAGAGACTAGATAACACATTGAGTACGACCTTACCACGGCGGACTAACCATAAGAGTCTGTATAAGAGCAAGTGTTGTCAGGTTTATGCCGGGAGTAGCTCAGCGAGAGTTCGTAATTAGGGGGGTTGCACCGCAAGGAGAGAAATGACAGTCAAAAGTAGGTGAGAAGTGCACCTCTGCAGGGAGAGAAAGTGGTGTGTGCGATACGAAACACCCTCCGAGTGTCGTTGACTGCTTATCATAACAGAACAGTTTGAAGGATACGGGTGAAGGTACATATGAGGGAAGAACACGCACGACAATGCAATGCACTATTACCTCCTCTGCGGCACAAGGCTAAACATAGAGGGCACTTGCATTACCCTACCTTCTATACTCAGTCAGGGTCTTGCCTGATGGTATGTTGAGGCGTCAGATGAATGTGTACTGTACCATTTAGAACACTTCGCAGGTAACGTGTAACGCGAGCCCTCCGGCGTGGCGATCTGGGCACCGTGTAATGGTAACATTCCCATTTTGGAGCTTATAAAAGCATATTTCAATATTTGGGCGCTGGTGTGCCCAATATGGCAGGTCACTTACCTGATAAGGTAGTCTGGCATAACGAAAAGGTGAAACTTTCTGTAACGGTAACATGGGGGTGGCGAACCGATCAAAATGGTACAGTAATAGAAGGATAGCTGAGCGTAAAGAGGAGGGAGGGCAGTGAGTCAGTACAAAGAAGGGCGAGAGGTAGAAGGTGGTGATAGGAAGACAAGTCACGTTGACAGTGGAGATGCATGTAAGTAATGGTGAGACACCTAATTCGAGGGTGGTCTCAAAAATACCGGAAAAACCTGTGAATGGTCTCGAAAACATCAGTAAATCATATAAATAGGCCTTGCATGGCTATGCCGTCAAGGTAGTCTGCCTAGTACTCTCCACTGGTGGTACACATGTCTACTGGCCGACCGGAGGTGTCCGACAAGGGAGAGTACAAGACAGAACGAAGCCCTCGTGCAAGTAGTCTCGCGCACGGAAGAAACACAGTGACCAAACACCACAATGAAAAGAAAAAGAGGAGAGATTATTGGTGTTAATGCTGATGATGATTCAAGATAAGGTTCGGAAGACTATATACATGGGTTTCAAGCTCAGATCGAACTCAGACATACGTAAATGGTAAGTATGAACCATGTAAGTAAAGACTAGGCATTCCTTCCTTATCCTGAATATACAGTCCAGAAATGTGGTGTTACAAACGGTTTAGATGTGGGAAATCAACAGCAGGTGATGCATGGCGGGTTGGGTCAGTGGCACGTCTCGTTCAACCATTCAACACTTAGGTCTTCTCATTTTGATGCTTGTCGTATCCTGAAGTGATAGATTATACATTCAAATTGTAACTTACCTTCGCGGTCCTCTTTCATTCTGTACAGCTCACCACACGCACGAGGACAGGATGCCTCCTGGCCTGAAGCTGTTTGTTCCTAAAGAGCCTCAGCAGCGACATCTCAGTGACTCAGTCCACTTTGAAGTACGACGTGCGTACATGAGCACTGATCAGTGATACTGGAGAGTATGAGATGGATGTTCTGGTTAGGGTCAGTATGCCCTCCCTGGTGAGCAGCTTTCCACTTTGTTTACTTGGGTGGTTCGTGCCATCATCAGTGAAGCTGATAGTCTCTTGGAGAGCTAGCTGAAGCTTGGAGGAGCTTGCTAGCACTTGCAAGGCTCTCCAAGGGGCTCAAGGGGCTGTCAGCTTCGCTGATGACCCCTCCATCGCCCTGAAGCTGCATGAACAATCTCAAATTCAATGTTCTTGCTGAGTGTCCATGCAGCTTGTACTACCATTAGTATTATTATGGCTGTCATCATCACATTTTACCATGCTCTTGATCAAGACTTTTTCTTTTTATTATTGTGCCCTCTTTACCTCAGCACAATCTCAACGGACAACAACTCTGGTTGTCACAACCGCCACATGCACCATTGGCCTGCTCACCCGAGCTTCTACGCTGCCCCAATATCTTTGGGGACTTATCATCAACCTACGAGCATGCCGGTCATCAACAAATGATGTTGCCAATGACAAGGGTGCTCTGGGACTCGAAGTGGCAAGTGAGCATGTAGTCTTATGGCTATGCGCTCTTGTCTTGTTTTCTGGGGTCATCAGGCCTATACCCTTTCTTGGTATACCTAAAGCTGCATCTCATACACCCTCTCATACCGTTGCACACTCCTTACCGGTAAATCTTCCATCAACCATCACTGTGCTCACATCCATCATGTCTATGGCAATAGTGCCCATGAGCTCAACAACCACATTCAATCCCTCCAGTTGACCACATATGTATGATGTCTCAAGGAACGCTCTGCACGTACATAAGAATTGATTGAATGAATATATCTGATTACAGTCAAGGTCCGAGTGTGGTGAAGACTCGAGCATATGATGCCACGTAAAGTCGTGACTAGTATAGCACAGTATGGTGTCAGTCGTGATATGCCAGCCACGTATGTCAGACCCAGCCACAAGTTTTGAGGATTGCTGATGTGTGGGGCACATCAGTTTTAAATACGAGTCATGTATGCAAGAAATACGGTGGTCTGTCTAATCAGGGGGTCCTGGAATGTTTGGGGTGTGTAAGTTAGCAGAGTCAAATGTGAAAGCAAGCGGGTTTTTAGATAAAAAGTCCTTGAGTAAAGTAATGGGTTGTAGAGAAGAGGTGATGAAGGTGACAAAGCATACAAAACAGAACTTTCATAATGCCCTCACCCAAGGAGTGTAACACCAAGAATAGTGTACCTGCCAAAGGGAACAGTGCCTGTCAACACTCTTGAACTTTTCACCCTCTTCCCATTGTGCAGTTCAGCAACGATCATGTTGAGTATGCATGGGGCTAGATTTGCACTATGCACATCTTACCTGTGCTTTAGTGAGCTGCTGTTGAGGCAATGCGAGTGAACTGGATAGTTCATTATATTTCTACGCTACATACAAGGTCCTTATATACATGTAGCGACATAGGTGAGAATATTATACTAAATTAGTTTGTTGCACAGACTTACTATGCATCGAGTTGTATCATGTCATATAGTGCAGTCATATGCACTCATTGCGTGAGACTGACGTTCTCATGGGTGAGAACACCCATGCATCATATGTGAACGTCTGAGCACAAGGCCCGAGTTCAACAGATCACTTCTTTTGTCAAAGGTGATCTCCACTAGTGTTCACCAATGCTCAACTTTGGCCATGCCAGAATTGAGACGGGAAGAGTGGCTTTGCATGCGGACTTGGTATGGTTAAGGATCATGTACCCGTTTACAAGAGTAAAGGTACTGAGACACCCGTTCGAGGGA